GGATTCCAAGATCGCACAGACCTCGCGTTTCAGCATATGAGCTCAATGTTTCATCAGGCAACGAGCTCAGCTCCTGATATCGACAGAGTGATTAAAGAGTCTAGACGAACTCCTTTTTCACTCAGGATCAAAAGTACCTATATCGAGATACCAGCAAGCTGCGTATCCCAGAATACTCTGGTAACAGCGATCCGAGAGCTTACATGCGAGCTTTTAACCTCGTCGTATCTCGAGTTCCTTTCTCTCCAGAAGAGATAGAAGCAGCCTACTGCAGGCTCTTCGCTGAGAACCTGATCGGACCAGCTCAAGAATGGTTCTCAACGCTGGACGAAAACTCAATCGATAATTTCGACCAGCTCCAATCAGCCTTCCTAAAACAGTATTCGATCTTCATCGAATCTAAAATTACGGAAGCAGACCTTTGGAGACTTTCTCAAGGTCCAAAGGAATCACTTCGATCTTACATTGACAGATTCAAATCAGTCAAAGCTAAGATCACAAACCCTAATGAGGCAGTAGCTCTACTTGCCCTCAAAAACAACTTGTGGTACGAATCGAAATTTAGAGAAGAACTAACTGTTCGACCTACAATTTCACTAGATGACGCATTACATCGCGCATCAGCATTCGCAACTCTCGAGGAAGACACAGCTCTCCTCAGAGAAAAGTACCTCAAAGGGGAGCTCGCATATGCTCCACCAGGTGCTAAGAAAACTGCACCAGCTAAACCACCTTCGCAGAGTAAAGGACAACATTCCTACTCTATCGAAACTTCAGCTCCCATAAAGAGCTCGGAGGAAGAAGAGAAACACTGCGATATTCACAATACAAACGGCCATTCCACAGAGGAATGCCGTGCTAAAGGCAAAAAGTCTAGCAAAAAGAAGGGAAAAAGCAAAACAGCTGAAACCGCGGTTAAGGCCGAAAAGCCAAAACCCAAACCAGCTAAAGACTCCGACAACGCACCTCAGAAAAGAGAACGCGAAGTCGAGGTCGAAGCCCCCGATTCCCCTCCTTCTAACAGGAAAAGAATCGACCTAATCTTCGGAGAGCTCAGCCTTTGCGGCGGCTCAACGAGATCCGTGGTCACCCCCCCACCCGCTCCTAGAAAGGCTACGAGCTCTAGCTCACACAGACCTCCTAGACTTGTCGGGGGGATAGAGCATTCTTACAGAAGCTCGCCTGTTACATCACCTACCTCCAGACCCGATACTAAGAGCATTGCGATCTCTTGCTTACGCAGACTTCACAAGCTCTCGGGGGGAGTAGAGCCACCTACCCCTAAACGAATTGACTTCATTTGCGGTGGCTCGAAGATGTGCAAAGACTCGATTAACTCGATCAAAGCACATCAGCGACGGGTCGAGTCATCTGGACAACCACGTCCTCTAGACGGACCTGATCACGAAATCAAATTTCGAGAAAGCGAAACACTCGCACTCGATAAACCTCATGACGATGCACTCGTAATCGAGCTCGCCGTAGCCGGATTCGAGCTGACCAGAGTCATGATAGACACAGGAAGCTCTGTAGACGTGCTGTTCTACGATGCTTTCAAGCGAATGGGATTCGAAAACTCCGCACTCATAGGAGGCCGTACGCCCCTAACTGGGTTCGCAGGAGAAACGACCTATTCCATGGGAACTATCCAGCTCCCAATCAAAGCAGGTGGTATAACGAAAACAGTTGACTTTGTGGTCGTAGATCGCCCCGCGCCATTCAATGCCATTCTCGGCAGGCCGTGGCTCTACACCATGAAAGCAGTTGCATCCACTTACCACCAATGCGTCAAGTTCCCTACACCTTGGGGAACAAAAACAATTCGCGGTTGCCAACGAGCTTCCCGAGATTGCTATATGGGCAGCTACTTGCGAGCTGAAAAATCGCCAGTATAGCAATTACAGAAAGAAGAGGAGCTCGCGATTCGGCAGATCAAACATGGCAAAGATCCGACCGTCCGCGAACCTCGAAAAGACTTGGTCACTCAGGTTTGCATCGACGAAACCGACCCCGAAAGGCGCGTTGGTATCGGAATCGATCTCGCAAAACCTATCCGTGACGAGCTGATCGCCTTCCTAAAGGAAAACATCAGCACATTCGCATGGTCCACCGCGGACATGCCCGGGATTGACACTAGGATCACGTCTCACGAGCTGAACGTAGATCCCACGTTCAAACCCATGAAACAAAAACGTCGAAAACTCGGCCCAGATCGGGCTAAAGCAGTAAACGACGAAGTAGACCGACTACTCAAGGTAGGCTCGATCAGAGAGGTGAAATACCCCGACTGGTTAGCTAATCCTGTAGTTGTCAAAAAGAAAAACGGAAAGTGGAGAGTCTGTATCGATTTCACAGACCTTAATAAAGCTTGTCCAAAAGACAGCTATCCACTTCCTCATATAGATCGCTTGGTCGAAGCTACGGCTGGTCACCAGCTCCTATCCTTCATGGATGCGTTTTCTGGGTATAATCAAATCAAGATGAACCCAGAAGATCAGGAGAAAACAGCTTTCATAACAGACCGAGGTACTTACTGCTACAAAGTAATGCCATTCGGGCTAAAAAACGCGGGAGCTACATATCAGCGCCTCGTAAACAAAATGTTTGCCGATCAGCTCGGTAAAACAATGGAGGTGTACATAGACGATATGCTGGTCAAATCCTCTAGGGAAACAGACCACGTCGCACAGCTCCGGGTATGCTTCTCCATACTTAACAAGTACGGCATGAAGCTGAACCCGACTAAGTGTACATTCGGAGTTCCGTCTGGCGAGTTCCTCGGTTACCTAGTAACTGAACGCGGAATCGAGGCGAACCCGAAGCAAATCTCTGCCCTCTTAGATATGCCTTCTCCAGAAAATACTAGAGAAGTACAACGGTTAACCGGTCGAATAGCAGCCCTTAATAGGTTCATTTCCCGGTCAACCGACAAGTGTCTTCCATTTTACCAGCTCCTCCGAGGAAATAAAAAATTCCTCTGGGACGAAAAATGCGAAGAAGCTTTCAAACAGCTCAAAACTTACCTCAGCGAACCTCCTATACTGGCAAAACCAGTAGAAGGAGAACCGCTATACCTTTACATCGCGGTCTCGCCTGCAGCGGTCAGCGGGGTCTTAGTTCGTGAAGAGCTAAACGAACAAAGACCAATCTTTTACGTAAGTAAATCCCTGATTGATGCCGAGACTAGATACCCAGCTATGGAAAAACTTGCCTTAGCAATAGTAATGTCCGCTCGCAAGCTGCGACCTTACTTTCAATCACACACAATCGTGGTGATGACCTCGCAACCATTGCGAACTATGCTACATAGTCCAAGTCAATCTGGACGACTAGCTAAATGGGCTATCGAGCTCAGCGAATACGACATCGAATATCGAACTAGAACCTGTGCTAAAGCCCAGGTACTAGCTGATTTCATGATCGAGCTGGCACCGGAAGCCAATAACGATACCACCCTCTCTAAAGTTTGGACACTCTTCGTAGATGGAGCCTCGTCCAAACAAGGAGCTGGCGTCGGAATCAAACTCACATCTCCAACCGGAGAAGTGATCGAACAATCGTTCAGACTCGGATTCGTCGCCTCTAACAATGAGGCCGAATACGAGGCACTCATAGCCGGACTCCGACTCGCAATCGGGATCGGCGTGAATGAGATCAACGCATTCAGCGACTCCCAGCTCGTTACTAGCCAATACAGCGGCGAGTACGAAGCAAAAGAGGAGCGCATGGAAGCTTATCTCAAAGTAGTTCGAGATTTAGCTGGACAATTCAGTAAATTCGAACTAACTAGGGTGCCTAGGGGAGAGAACACTTCGGCTGACGCCTTAGCTGCTCTCGCCTCCACTTCGGACCCAACTGTAAGACGTGTGATCCCAGTCGAAGGCATAGATAAACCTAGCATCGACATCGCACTCAAGTCTGACAGTATAAACGCAATTACCTCGCGCCCGTCTACTCGTTCTCAAACTAGACAGTCCCAAGATCCGGGACCATCTAACCCGGAACCTGATTCCGAGGAGGAAGAACCTGACCAAGATAGGCAAAAAACAAGGTATATCGATTCGGACTCTTCGCAAAATACGCAAGAGTCCACGATCCATACCGTCCCATCTGCTATGGCGAACGAACTCACCTTAAAGGAAGAGTTCGCTGCGAGACCCGACTGGAGAACCCCTATAATCGAGTATATCCAGCTCGGAGCCGTCCCTAACGAAAAATGGGCATCTCGCAAGCTAAAAGCCCAAAGCGCACATTATTGCATGATGGAAGATAAGCTCTACAAGCGAAGCCTTATCGAACCATATCTAACATGCATCCATGGGAAGAAGCTTACACCGTAATGCACGAGACTCATCAAGGACCTTGCGGAAGTCATTCCGCAGGCCGAGCTCTCGTCATACGGATTAAAAAGCTAGGCTACTTCTGGCCGACGATGATCAGAGACTGCGAACAGTACTCCAGGCGATGTGACAAATGCCAAAGGCACGCCCCAAGCATTCACGTCCCAGCTGAAACACTCTCATCGATCTCTTCACCTTATCCTTTTATGAGGTGGTCTATGGACATAATAGGACCTATGGTCTCTTCGGGACCGAAGCAATTCCAATACCTATTAGTCCTTACTGACTACTTCACTAAATGGATCGAGGCCAAACCATACCAACAAACGACCGAACTCGAGGTCCGGAAATTTATCTGGAAAGACATCATTTGTCGACACGGGCTCCCTTTCGAGATCGTGACAGATAACGGATCTCAGTTCATAGCTCGAACATTCAAAGACTTCTGCAAGAAGTGGAACATACGCATAACGTATTCCACACCTCGTTACCCTCAAGGGAACGGGCAAGCTGAAGCAACAAACAAAACCCTCTTGAGTAACCTCAAGAAACGACTCGACGCCCGTAAACATAGGTGGTCGAAGAGCTCGCAGCAGTTCTTTGGGCTTGCCGAACTACACCTCACAAAGCTACTCATGAGACCCCGTTCTCATTAGCTTACGGGCTAGAGGCCGTCATCCCAACTGAAACTTCCGTTCCAAGTCTTCGCAGGATGCAATGTCCAGCGAACGTCGAGCTGAACGAAGAAATGTTGAGAGATCACCTTGACCTTATCGACGAACGTCGAGATCAAGCTCTGATCCGGATACAAAACTATCAACAGGCCGCAGCTCGCTATTACAACTCCAAGGTTAAACACCGGAGCTTTCGTATAGGCGACATGGTTCTGAGAAAAGTACAAGACTATACCAAAGAGCGTGCAGGGAAACTTGGGACCAACTGGGAAGGTCCCTACCTCATTACCGAAGTAGTTCGCGATGGCGTCTACAAGCTCACAAAAGTCAGAAACGGAATACCTGAACTAAGACCTTGGAATGCGATGAACCTGAAAAGGTACTATCACTGAAAAGGATCTAATCTGAGTATCTCCACCCCTCGAACTACGTTTAGGCTTGATCCTCCTTCCCTGGGGGTACGTAGGCAGCTCAACCACGAGTCCAGCCCCAATCCGAATTTACTTCGTTTTATTTGAGACGACCTCATTGGCCGGCCCTAAAACGGGCTCGATTTGTATCATCTCGAATATTATACTTAAATAAAATGTTTTCTATGTTTATCGCTACGAATTGCTCGAATCGACTCAGCAAGTCCTTAAGAAATTCCGAATTACTTAAGCGTATCAATTTACGTCGAAAACGCCTGATCTTGCGTGACCTGAAAAGAAATCGAGCTCTTTCTCTCGTCTCAAAACAGATCGGAAGATCGAGATCACCTCGATATTCCCCTTTCGAACGAAGTGAGGTTCAGAGTCCACCTCTTTACCTTCAATTTCTTACTTCGCAAAAAACCAATCGAAGTCCGCAGCGTCCAAGCATCCAGCGTAGTGTTCTAGCAATCGTAGAACCGAAGACCCAGAGACAGCCCGAAATCTAACACGAAGCCGAGCCATCCAGACGGACCTAAAGTTCACGATTAGCTCGGAACACTATCGGCGAAGCGACAAAACCAAGACGAACTTCGAAAGGTAATAAATTCCATCTCCAAAAGCCGAATAAGAAACACCTCGATCGAAAGACGGGAAAACAACTCCGCAAAGCGCGAGCTACATCAGTTCGCCAAAGAGCTCGAAAAAGAATAAACACCACGTTTAGCTCGATCCACGATCGACGAAAATTGGTAAAATTCGCCTAAGTGTTGAATCGATCTAATCGTCCCGAATTGGACTTGATTCGACCTAAAACTATGTTTAGCTCGTTCCACGCGATCAGCCAAAACTAGTAAAATTCGCCTAAGTGTTGAATCGATCTAATCGTCCCGAGTCGGACTCGATTCGACCTAAAACTACGTTTAGCTCGACCACGATCGGCCAAAACTAGTAAAAATATTCTAAGTGTTGAATCAACCTAAACGGATCGATTCGACCTCCGACTAAAGTACATCTTGGCCCTGGTCTCTCGACCGGCCAAAACACTTAGTCAAAAAGCCTCAAAACATTTTGGCAAGAAAAACGCGAGCTAAAATGAAAGTTGCAAAACAATTTGAGCAAAAGCGCCTAAGGCAAAACGCCTAAGGCCAAAACATTAAAAGCCCCCGCGGGCAAACGAGTTTGTGGATAAAAGCCTTCCCAGGCACCAAATCCGAAACATAAAGCGTAAAAACCCCGCCGGGCAACCAAGTCTTAAAATAAATTGAAAAAGGAGTAGAGATAGAAAGAGGTCGACCAAGAGCTCAGTCCTCGACGGTCATCTCTTCATCTTCCTTCTCTTCCTCCTCGTTGCTTCCCTTCTCTTCGGCATTCGTCCCGAACGGGTTCAAGCCAACCGGGATGCTCGTCGATGGGTCGATCTCCATGCGCGCGACCGAGTCCTCCGAAACCACGGGAAGGTTAAACTTCCCGATCGAGAAATCGGAGACTTGGGCCGCCTTGGCTGCTTCGGCCACCTCATCCTCGAGCCCCTTCAACCTGGCGAGCTCTTCCTCCTGGTTGATCGCACCGGAGATCAGCGACGTAAGGAGATCGATGTTGGATTGGAGTTCGATCTGATCGCCCTCCTTCTCACCTTCCACCCTCTTCTCCTCGAACTTTGCCTTAGCCGATTCAAGCACTTCCCGATGCTTCGCGACCATCTCCCTCCGACCTGCGCGGTTGGCACGGCGAGCTACGTTGTCCTTCTCGGCGACGAGTACCTGGTTCTCCCGGCTAAGGCGAAGCGACTGCGTCAGCGCACTCGAGCTCTCCTTCTGCAAAGCCGCCATCTGCTCCTGATTCTGGGACAGCTGGCGCAAGAGATCGGCCTCCCTGGTCTCGAGCTCTTTCACACGACCCTCCTGCGAGGTGTGTTTCTTCAAGAGCTCACCCTGACGAGCTACCCGCTCGTTCGCCGCAGAGAGATCGGAGGTCAACTTGGCAACGAGCTCCTTCACCTGATCGAGCTCTTTCTGCTGAGGCGCGTCTCTGATCCTCGACTCCAGGCGGGACACCAACATGTTACGAGCTGCCACAGCCTAACAAAAAAAAAAATTCAACCAAGGCCAAAACAACAAAGACTCTCGTCTAAAGTTTTGACTAGGGAAACAGTTCATACCCTCCCGCTCGCAGCGCACGTCGCGATGTAGAGCTCCTTCTCAGACATCTGGTTCAGGGACGGGAGCCGGCATCCGACGGGCTTGAAGTGGAGCTGAATGCGAGCTGTTCCCTCCTCGTCGTCCTGAACGGGGAAGCCTTTGGAAGTTCTCGTACTGCCAGTAAAACGGCGGCTTTCCCCCGCTCCCGTTCGAGGCAGTCGGGCCGCCCTCGCGAGAACGAGTCTCTCCATCGTCACTCCGAGCTCGCTTCGGCGCCTGCCTCGAGTGACCTTGATCCGAACTCCGAGTCCGATCGGAGCTCACATGAACCGTACTCGGGAGAGGAACGACCTCTCCTTCAGCGGTCGCGTCGACCTGGTCAACCACCTGGTCGGCAAGGGCAGAAGACCCCGCCGTGGGCTTCGAAGCCATAGCCTCCTCCACCGCCGTTACGAACTCGCCGGCACGAACTCGACTTCCACCCGAGGAAGCGCCTTGGCACCCTTTGCGGTCCGGGATCTGAGAGGCTGACGACGGGCATTTTCGATCTGCGTGAGAGAGGAGGAACAGAAGAAGCGGAGCTAGAATCTTGCGCCGATCTAACCGGAAGATCAGCTGGAAAATTTATAAACAGCTCGTTACAAAGAGTTCGTAAAATGAATTTCTAGTTGGTCAAGGGAGATTATTACCTGGAGGAGGAGCAGGAGGAGAGCTGAGAACTCGACGGATCCGTTCCGGAGTAAAAGTACTCCAGTTCACCTTTTCCCTTCCGAGTCGCTCGACGAGGTAATCAATCCCCGGGTTGTTCGGTACTGGATCTACAACTGCAAAAGACAAAAAAAATCATCAATAAACGAGGTATTCCATAAGTCAAGCGAGGTATCGACTATCCTAAACGGAAATCGGCCTAAGCTAACCAACGCTAGTCGCCCACTCCGTTCGGATTCGACCAAAGTCGAAGTCGCCCATCGTGGCCTCGCTGACCCGGAAGAAGAACATCTCGTCACTCCACCCGCTATCCCTCTGCGGGGTGTTCGTGAATATTCGCCGATTCGGCCTCGGCGAGGAGTAAAACGACCCGGGAAGCCTGGTGTTGTTCTTCACCGAGAAAAGCTTTCTCAGATCTCGAACACCGAACGAGACGCCCTCTTCCCGAGCTCGAACCGCACATCCTATCACGTGGCGGACGAAGCTCGGGTGCATCTGTGGAAACGCCATCTTGTAATGAGCGAGCGCTTCCATCAGAAAACGAGGGACCGGGAAAATCATCCCGGCGCTCCGCCAATACGACGTATAGGCGCAGCAAAACCCCGGACGAACATGCTCCGGGTCCTCTCCCTCAGCCGGAGAACGAGTTCGATCCATCCGGGATCCCGAAATCCTGCCGGAAGTGTCGAGGCTTTCGGCGTCGAGCGTCGTCTCGGCGTGCGGCGTGAACTTCCCGTCACCGCCGAGGTCGACGGCCTTTCCCTTCTCTTGCTTGACGATTCTTCGGAGGCATGATAGTCGGAGGAGAGACGGAGGAAAAAGAGGTTGAAGGAGGTTTTGGAGAAATTCGAAATCGAAACAACCTAAAACGCTCGAAATTTTGCAAAGGTTCGATAATTTTCAAGAACTTGGAGTTATCTAATCTAAAATTAAGAGCAAATAAATAAGTAAAAGAGAGAGGAGAAGTTACCTTTTCAAAAACGTGGGCACGGTTAAAGAGAAGAGTAGTGGGTCGAGTTTATATTCAGCATTAACTGCTGAAGAGATCGCAAAGAATCCGATTTTTCTGCGTGAATCTCGACCGTACAACTCACAGATCTTAACCGCTTGCATGCGACGAGCTGATGATGTGACGCGCTGTGGGTCCCAAACAGATCTCAGCCGCACGGGCTCTTCGCTCTCCTCGATCTGAACCGTCCGATTCGAAAACATAATCATTTCGAATCTCGTAACACGCGATATCCGTTATCGAGGAGCTCGGTTTGCGAGATTGCAGCGAGTTGACAAGATTCGTTCGCGATCTCGACCGTTCATCTCGATTCAACGGCCAGATCTTATCTTCACCTCGAAGAAAAGAAAAATAATGCCTAAGGCAATTTCCAACGACGAGATCCCCGCGATCTTTTACCCCGTTCAAACCGTTGCGGATAAGCTCGAATATACCCCGAATCGAGGAATTCGAATTAGCCCGGCAAAAGTTTGAATTTTTGAAATATAAAACAAACCGCCCGTTTTAAGTTCGAAACTCACTTAAAAGGGCTGGGGGGCAATTGTTGGACCCAGATTCCACACCTGGAATCTAGCCCGTAAGGGCCCATTACCTTGATCCAAGATTGAAGTCCAGGCCCACTCAAGCCCAGCAAGAAGACCTCGAGCCCACCAAGCGACTCCCTCGTAAGCCAGTTAACTGCCATCCGAGCTATTCCGGTCGACGTAAAGACGAGCTCCAGCTCGATCAAGGACCAGGTCGGCACTGCGAAGAAAGACGAAGTCAAAGAAGATCTCCTTCAAATCCGGTCTGGTCCGAGATCACCGGGATCGTTAGCTGCACGTGGCGAGATACGCGGAGGTGGATCGTAGCTGATTCTGGAGCTATAAAAGGAGCTTGACAGCAGTCGGATCAAGGACATCTTCTTCCGATCATTTAGACCTAATTACTATCATACTTTCCTTGTATTTTCCTTTGAGCTTAGTTCTTTCTCTCTTCTGAGAATTCATTGTAACCATTCATTCGTTTAATACAATTCCGTTTAGCCAAATCCTTGCTTACGATTCATTCGACTTACATCAAAATCTAGCCCTAAATCTCCCTAAGTTTCTTCCTTGCAAAACCTATAAATTTCGAGTGTGGTTTTCATAGCCCACACCCACTACCCTAAATCGATCAGAAAAATCCCTAGCTTTTGTCCCCTCTTCAATTCATCTTTTAATCCCAACCACACATCTAAAACACCCCCTCTTCCCCATAACTCGATCGAATCACGTTCTCCCTCTCTCCCACAATCTAAAAATTCTGAAAATCATCCATCTCTCTCTTCACCCTAAGAAAAATCCAAAATTTTCTCATCCTCTCTTAAGTTTTTCGATTGTTCATTGTTTATCTTCTTGATTTGCTTGGGTTCTAGTTACTGTGATTCTTCACTTCATCATTCAATCAAGGTATGAACCCTAAAACCCTTGAATCCTTCATCTCGATTTCTCTTCATTGCTTGTTTCCCCTTTGATTTTAATTGCATGTGCCCCTTGTGGGGTTGTTACTGAGTAATTTCCTTCAAAACCTTCTCCTGCTATGTAATCTTGTGAATTTGCCTCACCTCACCTCTGTTTTACCATTAAAACTTGTTGCATGTGCTTAAAACTTTGAGTTTGAAGTTAGAAATTGGCTAGGATGCTTTGCTCTTCCCTAGAATTGCTCATTGTTCCAATTACTTGTTGTTTTTGGTTCGATTTGATTTACAGGCTTTCTTTCCAGTTCTTATCACTTGATTTAGGTTGGGTTATACTCTGTTTTCACCTAGCTCGATCGAGTTTGTCACTCGAGTTTTTTGACTTGATCGAGCTGAGTGTCGAGTTGACCAAACCAATCATTACAACTCTAATTCTTTGTAATCTTTGATGCATTTCAGGTACTTTAGTGAAAAATCAGTGTAACAAAGATGACAAACAGTGAGGGAAGCCGTGCTTCACAGAGGAGAATGGTTGAAGGAGAATCAAGCAATGCAAGGGAGAGAAGGCTAAAAATGCAAGCCGATTTGGAAGCAATGACTCAAAGGATCGAAGGTTCTGATGCAGAGGAGTATGTCTACTCTGAAGAAGAGTCTGAGAACGAGGTTTTGAGGGAGGAAACCAAGAAGAGGAATGATTCCATTAGTAGTGAGAGTGAGCAAGGAGAGTTTGAGATTGGAGTGAACCTTTTTCAAGAGGAAGGAGATGGCTCCCCAACTGAAGAAGAAAGTGATGGGACTCCAAGTGAAGAAGAGGGTGAAGAAGTCAATCAAGAGATTGATGGAAGTGAACATGAGAGTAACCAAGATGAGCCCATGGAGGAGGCTGAGCCACAAGAGGAGGAGGAAGAACTCCCCATGTTCCAAGAGCACTACAATGCTCTCTTCTCCATGGATTTCGTGGAGACAAGATATCCACATGTTGACACAATGAAGGCCCTTGGAATCTTTGAGGATGTAGAGCTAGTTCTCAAGAACATGCACTTGGGAAGGTTTTTCTCTCATCACATGGAATCCTACAAAGAGCTCACTTGCGAGTTTTTGGCTTCAATGAGGTACCACATGTACGATGAGGAGGATAGACCGATTTGGACCAAGGATTGGGATGGATCACGTTCTTGGCTAATGGAGAGAAGAGAATGGTGACCTTTAGGCAGTTGGAGATCTTGTTTGGTTTCAACTATGGAGAAGGGACTGAGTGGAACTTCAAGGAAAAGGAGCTCCAAAGGGTTTGGGCTACAATCGCTGAAGTGGGATACTCTTCCTCACGATCTAAAGCCGCTCAAATCAGGAGTCCAGTGCTTAGTTATGTGCACAAGGCACTCGCCCACACCTTCTATGCAAGGAAAGCAACCGGCACAATAAATGAAGGGGAACTCAAGCTTCTTGACATGGGAATCAAACCCATCCTCTCTCACACAAGCGATGGCAAGAGGATTAGAGGAGATAGCCACACAGGGAACTTGATGCCTTCCTTGACCAGCTCCTCACCTACAAGACCACAGCCTACAACACTAGCATCAAAAGGGAAGGAAGCTAAGTGTTGGAGGGCTCATCACTCCTATCTTGTGTGCTGCTGGAGTGAACCCAACTGATAGAAGCCACTGAACCAGGTTGGATGGACATCAAGTTTTGCAAGACCTCCTCATTGAGCACAAGGAGTTGGATGGGAGGTTCCAATTCAAGTTCACACATCCATTGGCTGGCCCTTCCAAGCTTCTCCTGCCCAACCCTGAGCTCACCACAGTGTCAGGGGTGAGAACATTGACTTCAGACCCCCTGTGTACACATTAGTTGGGCATGAAGGATGATTGCGAGAAGAGGAGCCTGACTCGATCGAGCTCGATCGAGCTGAGGATCGAGCTGAGTCGAGCTGAAGATCAGTCCAGGAGAATGGATTTGGGTGAGCCTGAGTGCTATTACTTTGAGGAGTATGAGGCTCCAAGGATGAACCCCTCTGTTGTGGCTGCCCACAAGAGGATTGGACTTCTCCAAAAGTTCAACAAATGGCAAGGGAAGCCATGAAAGATGCAAAAGTCCATGGACAAGATGGTGAGCAAGATCAAAAGTTTGGAGAAGAAGGTTTCTGGTTCATCAAGCAAGAAGAAGAACCCATGGCCCACATTCCCTAGGAGTAGATCACTCCTCACCACTCCAAGGAGGCTCCCTGCCCAAGAGCCTCACAGAGCCTCTTCTTTCGAGCCAAGGGAAGGAGAAGACAACACGCAGAGAAGGAGGAAGAGTTCCAAGGCCAGACGCTCCAGCTCGACCACCGGACTCGATCGAGTCCAAACAGAGGAAACTCAACTCGATCGAGCTGACGGTCGAGTTGACCTGGAGGAGCCCCAGTTTGAGAACCCTGGATTCGAGTACGATCCACACCTTACCAGGACTTCCCCAGAGTAGATGGAACCCCAATGGCATTCGAGCTAGCCAGCTCCACCAAGGCCAAGGGAGCCACACACTTTCAAGATGAAGAAGAGGAGAAGAGGAGCCGCAAGCTCGATCGAGTGAGCGAACCCAGTCGAGTGGAGTGCTCCTGATGGCCGTCCCATCTCCAGACCACGACCTGCCTCCCAGTTCTTTGGGGGGCACTGAGGTATCCAAACACCAACCCTTGTACCCTTGTACATACCATTTCATATTTTCTTGCATTTGTTTTTTTTTTCTTGGTTTTGCCCTCTTGAATCTTTCACTAAATTTTCTCACACAAGGGACTGTGTGATTTAAGTTTGGGGGAGGGTTCAAGAGATGATTTAACCTTGTTTTCTTTGTTCTTAGTTTTTCATTCATCTTTTGCATAGAAAAACCAAAAAAATCATAAAATTTTCAAAAAATCCAAAAATATTTTCATCTTTTTGCATTCATATTTGTTAGACTTGTTTAGGATTGCATTTTCACTTGCATTGTTGATTTGACTTTGAAAACTTGTTCATCTTTTGCGATTTCTTGAGTGCCCTGTTTTTAGATTCTTTTGTGCATTAGGGTGAGATTGATTGAGCAGCAAGAACCATGTTTATCTTGATCATATCACTGCATGCACATCTCATTCAACCATTGCTGTGATTTGATGCATTTCCCTATCTATTTGAACCATAACTTGATCTTTAATTACCAATGCTTGCATTTGATTTCAACTCATGGCTACCACATACATATCTGGACATTCTTTACCTATTTTCATATCCCTTTGCTTGTCCAGATAGCTGATCTCATCTTTGAGACAGTTACCACACCTTAAACCTAAGCCTTTTCATTTCAAACCCCATATTATCTCTTGTGCGATTGTGAGAACCTTTCTTGGCTTTGCTTAGCATAAGGTGTTGTGTTTAAACCGGCAGGGGCAGTAGTTCTAGTTGTCTAGTTCTCTTGGGATTGTTTTCAGGCTAAGTTTGGGGGTGCCAACTCGAGCTCGATCGAGTTGGGTGTAAAAACCAGAAAAGTGGTAAAAGTTGGGAAAAAAAACCCAAAGGAAAAAGAGTTTAGTTAAGTCCAGGGAGTTGGCAGTGTTAAAAAGGGTCTAGTAAAGGTTTGGGAAGTTAAAAAAGGAAGTAAAAAGGGTTCTAAGTAGAATGAAAAGAAGGCAAAGCCTCAAGTGTCAAAAAGAAAGAAAAGTTCCCTAAGTGTTTAGAAAATCCCAAACCGCTAGATGTTACCTCAAGAAGCCTCTCCCTAGGAAGTTCTTAAAAGAAAAGTGAGCAAAGCTCCTCAGTTTCAAAGGCGAAATGCCAAAAAGGGTAGTTAGGATTTTGTTCTAAAAAGCTCTAAGTGTTGAACTCGATCGAGTTAGGATTAGGCGGCTCGAGCTGCTGTTCTTGCATCATCTTTGGTTCTAACACTTAGCCTTCTGCCAAAGCAAAGCCACTTTCTTGAGAGATCCCTGTTACTAAACCACCATACAAAAGAGACCCTCTTTGTCTCTTAACCCATAAACCCTTGAAACCAAATGAGTTGATTGATCTTGCATGTTTTTGGTTCACTGTTTTTGCTTAATGAATGTTAAAGGGATTTGCTGATTTGAATGCATTGTTTGAGTGACTGTGAAGTGGGATTGATGTTGATAAGCATGGTTAAATCTTAATGAATATCTCTCACCTTGTTGCATTCTAGAATCTCTAAGTTGGACATTTAGCAAATCGCTTTTGAGGACATGTTTTTAAGTGTTGAATCAGCTTGTTTTCAAACCTCATCTCTTTCTTGTTCTATTTGTTTGCTTGAGGGCAAGCAAAGTTCAAGTTTGGGGGTGTTGATGTACTTGCATTTTACATAGTTTTAGTACATCTTTTATGCATCTTTTGCATAGTTTTAGCATCCATTAGCATCATATCTTGTTCCTTTTCTCTTCTTATGCATTCATAGTAGTTTTAGGTTGCATTTGCATACATATGCATGTTTGGTCCTTTGAAATAGGTCTTTTGGAGCATTCTGGAGCATATGGGACGTAAGGAGCATGGAGGACTTGGCATGGACGCAGCTCAACTGGATACGCAAAGGAAGAAGGAGGAAGCCATCTTGAAGACCAGACCATCTACTCGACCAACCGGTCGAGTTCCTCAACTCGACCGGCCAAGCTTCAACTCGATCGAGCTGAGAAGTCAACAGTCAAACCCGAAAAATGTTGCTTCCCCCTTGACTTCCTTTGACCCTAAACCTAATCCTCTTGTATTTAAAGGCTCTAAGCCACGAAAAAACCACCAAGCTTTAGATTATTTTGTTTTAGTTTCTTTAATTATTGTCTTTTACTTTTTAGATCTAATCCCATCTTTGTGTTCTTGAAGCTCTTGCTTCTTGAATCCTAGATCCTGGATAATCTTTTGTATTTGCACTTGCTTATTTCAATAAAAGTTGTTTATTTCATCTCCTCTTTCTTATGATGTTTATTGCATTTGCTTGTGTTTACATTCATGTGTAGTGAGTAGTTACCCATTAGGGTTTGAGATGGGATAGATTAGAGGTTTTATGCTTAATCCTTCTTGCTTATGGTCTTAATCTAGATCTCTCTCTTTTGGAAATCTTAAGGCTACATGACCACTACCCCTGGCTTGTAGTCCTTAGGCGATTCTCCACATGGAAGTGATGGAAATCGCTGGAAAAGATCCACTAAGAGCTCCAATATCTCTTGCTCTAGAAATAGAGGTCTAAGGGGTTGGATGGATTAGTTTGGCAATGATCCTATGGCCTCCAAGGCTTGATTCTCACTGGCTAACCCCCTGTTTCTGAGATCATTCCTTGGTTGATAGCTTTCACCTTGGGAAAGGGTTAGCTAGGCATTGAGAAGCCCAATATCAAGAGAAGCCTTGATACAAGGAGTTTTAAGAGCAAGATTGATTAAGTGTAGATTCCTCTGATTGCAAAACCCTGTCTTGAACCCTAATTCTCGCTTTAGCTTGTTAAAGTCGCTGCCTTTAGCTTTTTACTCAACTCGACCCTAAACTCGATCGAGCTGGTACTCTGTTCCACTCGACTCGAGTCCTTGGTCGAGCTGTTGCTCTACTGCTTTATTTACTTTTATTGCATTGCATTTCATTTTCATTTAGGTTGTTAGTGTTACCCCTTCAAATTACTGCTTGCTTGACTTCCTGTTGTTTCATATTCTCATAGAGTGACAATTTCCCATTTTGGATTGATAACCCTTTATGCTATAATGACTATGATGGTTAAAGGGAATTGTTGACTGTGTTTGTGTTTGCATCTTACCACCTCATCATATACCACTGTTGCATTCCACCACATTTCATTCATATCTTTCACATCCACACACAAATCCTATCATCACAACTCCAGCTCCTGACTCAGACATAGAAATCGTCGCCAGATACGCCTCACAGCCCCGCTCTAACAACTGCTCGGCCTGAATAGCAGATATCACAATACTCCCGGAAGTCGGTCTCACTCCCTGATAAACCAACCTCCCTGCATCTCGCTCGAAGACACTCTACCTCTGTAGCAATCCAGATGAACTCTGTAGTGTGACAACCAGTCCATCCCGAGAATAACGTCATACAGCTCCACCGGACTGATGACTAAGTCTGCTGGCATTGACTGCCCCGCAATCTCGATCTCGACTCCTCTAGCACGGCCCAAAGTAGACAAGAATCCACCTCCCGCCACCTTGACCATGCCCGCGCTCTCGCCCGCGCTACTCCGGATGCCACTCTTCTCGGCACGCTCCGGTGTAATGAAGCAATTCGATGCTCCAGAGTCGAATAAAACGTGGGACTCAAAACCGCCCACTAACAAGGTCCCTACACATTCAATTGCGTTGAGAACCTCCACAAGACTATCACAGATAAAAATGACTAACAGACAATAACACAACAACAAATTCTATACTAAGAATTTACAAAGACTGAGTCAAAGATTTACTTGTGATCTGCACGGTCTGACTAGTCCCGCCAGTCTCCACTGAAGAGTAACCCCGCGGCGCCGGTGCAATCTGACCCAACGGCTGCACTGCTGCGATCTGACTCACTGACTGAGCCGCTACTGCCAGAACCGAAGCCACCGACATACTCTGCAACTTAGGACACATTGGCTTGATATGCCCAGGCTCCTTGCAGTAGTAGCACACCCTCGGTGCTGACTCCCTCTTGGGACAACTCGAAACACGCTGCTCCGTGCTCCCACACCCAAACCACGAACCACGAGGAAACTGACTAGCACCAGAAAACTCCTCTCTACTCCTCTTCTGACCCTGCGCAGGCAAACCGCCCCTGCCAGAACCAGAACTGAAACTCAAACCACCTCTGCGCTGCTGCTGCTGCTGCTGCTGATGCTAGCAGAAGCAACTGCTGACGGCACAGCCACCGGAACAACTGGCCCACCAAGATCCGCCTCCACCGACGCGGCCAAGTCTACCAGGCTCGCCCTCGAAGTGTGCGTATTACTCCTGCATAGAGTCTGGATATACTTGCGAAGTCCCTCCAAAAACCTGTTCGTCAACTGATGCTCGGCCTCCATGCCAAAGCCTGCATGCACCAACAAACGACTGAACTCCGCATCATACTCGCGCACAGAGCGCGAACCCTGCTCAATGTCTATAAACCGCATCTGAAGACAATCACGAGCCTGCCTCGGGAAATACTTGGCGTTGAACTCCACAAGGAAGTCGCCCCAAGTCCAAAATGCCCTCCGGCCCACCGCGGCCTGCCACCACAAATGAGCATCGCCACTCAAATAGTGGACCGCTAACTCCACCCAGTACTCCATAGGACAACTGATCGAATGAAAGTTCCGCTCCACTCTCTGACGCCACGCGTCTGCGTCCTCCGGACCAACTCTGCCCTCGAAGAAAGGCGTACCAATCCTCTGCATGTGGCCCATAAACTCCAAATAACGGGTCACACCCGCTCTCACAGCATCCGGCTGCGCAACGTCTGCAGCAACATGCTGCACCTCTGCCACTGGCGGTACTCCTGGAGCCCCCTGTGGAACCACCGGCGGAAAACGAGCCAATAGCTGCGTCAGCAAAATCATCACGACCCGGAGCCGGAGCGCCACCCCCACCCGGAGCAGCCCCCGCTCCCAAACCAACACTTGTACTGGCATCACCCGCCAACGGAACTGACTGGGTCACCGACGCAGTATGCACACTCGGTGCCACACTCTCTCCCGACTCCTCCGGAAGTCCACGACCACGACCTCGGCCTGCTCGGCCTCCAGCTCTACCACCACGGCCCACTCTGCCACCACGGCCTCTAGCACCGCGCCCTCTCGCGCCACGACCTCTAGGAGCTCCGTCCATCTCACTGCATGGACCCGAACATGAGCAACTAGACAATAAACACAAAAACACAAACACCAAAAACTCACCGCAGAATCTCCTGAAGCTGAAGGGGATGATACTAAAGCCTAGCAGTTCTAACAGTCCTAAAACCGTCTAGGCTCTGATACCAAAATGAAACAACCAACACTTTTTTTTTATTCATAAATACTAATCAATTCTAGCGAAGGTCTTTAAAATAAATAAATAAATAAATATCAATAACAAATAAATCAGTTCAGCGGAAGCAAATAATAATTAAACAAGTCTAGCAAAACAATGCAAAATAAATAAAAGCAATAAACATCCTATCATCCCCTCTTCAGCCTTGATTCCGCGATCACACAAATCTTTTACCTGCAACACATTGGAATGGAGTTGCATAAGTATTTAATAAATACTTAGTGAGGCAATCACTCTGCCTACAGCCATTTACGCAATTTACTAGACATTTAAATAATTATTATAAACTCCAATAATTATTAAATTCCATTTTCCAATTATTAATAATTAAAACTTCATTTCTCAATTATTAAATAATTCTCATAATTAAATAATAATTTTTCATATTTTAAAATAATTATAATTATTTTAAGCCATTTAATTAATTAAAATACTCATTAATTAATTAAATACGAATTTAACCAAATAACCAGATAACCAGATTTAACAATTAAATTAAATCAATTTAAACCAATTTATATTCAATTGAACCGGACCGAACCGGTCAGTGTCGAGCGACACCACCACTTGTGTTGACCGACACCAAACTTGGTGTCGACCGACACTAGTTCCAGAGACCGATTCTTCCTTCAACAAAACAGCACGAAAAACACAGAAAACACCAAATTCACACGAATTACACCCAAACAACACTAGATAACACATAATCAACATGAACAACTCATGAACAATTAATCAATCAAACCAAATCTAGCAATTGCGGACCTACAGTCATGCACTCACCTCAAATCGGGTTGAAAACAGAGAAAGGGGGATGAAACAAGCAAGAACAGCAACAAGGAGCCTCAGATCGACGAAGAACTCTGGATTTCAGCTCGAAATCGCCTCTCTTCTCCTTCTCCAGTCCGCAAAACGACAAAAGAGAGGAAGAGGAAGAGGAAGCGGCTGCAGCTTTTTATTTCGAGTTCTAGGGCTTCCTGAACCCAAACCGGGCTAAACCGAACTTAAATTGAACCAGAAATTGATTTTAACCATTGGTGTCGACCGAAACCACCCTGGTGTCGACCGACACCAAAGAAAAATCACAATTCTTTGGTCTACGGATGTTACAAATGGCTTCGTCAATGCTTTGAGGTATTGATGTAGATCTCGTCAATGCTCTTTGGCAACGACGAGATAAGGTCTCTGCTTCTTCCTATATTATATGGCTCTACCTTTGAAGAGCGGCGAGAGTATAACCCTTAGGGTTCTTAAGAATCTCATCTCTTCTTATCCTTGTTGAAGGATCTCGTCAATCCTAATCCTTATTGGGTTGGGCTTAGACGTCGGTAGTAACTTCATATTAGGAGGTACGTCGGTCACTCTTTGTAGTTTCCTTCTAAGAATACGTCTGTCACTCTTCATAATTTTCTTTTAGGAGATACATTGGCCTTTGTACAATTCCTAGCCCATTAGTGAATATCGTCGGTCGTACCTCGTTATAAAGGTATGTCGATGTTTAAGGCCTTTTAGGCAAATTAAGGTAAGTATGACCGGTTGCCATGGTTGTTAGTCGGTCATATCTCCAGCTTACAATAGAGTTTAACGAGCGACCGGTTAGTGAATTTATTTCACCCAACACCTATATATGTATTTTGTTAGCATTTTTGGCAAACTCACCCATTTGTATGGTTAGGTTATATATAATTTCAAAGCTAGGAAAAACTATTTTATTTAGATTAAATTGTTTTTAGAAAAATAAAGGGAAGAGACTGGAAAACAAAATTATACATAATACTTGACATGTATCAATCTGATGGGAAATCATGTTAACTAAAAATTTGGCATGTGGAATGCACCAAACTTTATATAATAACTAGATTAGGTCCCGCGTATACGCGGGTTTATTTTAAAATTTGTGAAAAAAATAACAGAAAAATATTGAATAAAATTTGATCACTTTTATAACTAAGTAGAATAATATTTAAAACATGATAACAAATCTGCAAATAAAATAAAATTGGTAATCTTACATTTTTATTTTTAATTGACATGTTTGTTTTTATTCACGAATATTAAAAATGAATTAATTAGTTTTTATTTTTTTTATCTAAAATAGAAAGACTTACACGTGTGTAAATCTGATCGACTGATTTGTTAGTGAAAATTTTATTATTCCATCTAAGAGATTTCGATTGATGAAATCTTTTTTTAATATTTTTTTACTTAACAAAAATTTGAAAATTAAACTATTTAAAATTAGAATATCGGTCCTTACAAAATTTTCTTTTTAATATTAGTTAGTTGCTTGATATTATTTTGTTATTTTTCTATATATACTGTTAATTTTTAAATTTTTCTTTGTCTCAGACCATTATAAAATTTTGTTTTTATTATTAATTATTTTACAATCATTTGGCTAGTTATTTTTTCCTTTTCGTATTGGGGATATATTTTTCCTTTCCTTTTCCTAATGGATATAATTTATAAATACTTGAATTGTGTTTTCCTGTTTCAAACAAAAGTGAAAATTTAATGTTAATCTATGTTATAATTAAATAAGATATCAATATAATATGTTACATAAACTTTTCATCAGGTAATAGAAGCTCAAATCCCATAAGGATATTATTTTCTTTATAATTTGTAACGTACCACTTTTGAATAACATGTACTATAGTACGGTGACAATTTCGATTTCGATCCAATTGACTTAGAGTCAAATAATCTTCACTCCTTTCTTGAAGTTTTAAAGACATGCTTTTTAAATTAGAGAAAGATAATCAAAGAGATTTGATGAATTTGTTTTGATGAGTTTGTGAATGAGAAAAAAGAGACTAACTTAACTTTTCTTTTATAGGGGTTCACCTAACCTATTCCATGTAGTTATAGAAATTTTAGTTTACATAACATATTCCATGTACTAATATGATTTTTTTCTTCCATTATTTTGAATTTAATATGTGTTAAAGATAATATAATTTAGTTTACATAACATATTCCATGTACTAATATGACAAATTTAAATTTTTAATATAATTTTTTCTTTTTATTATAATAGATTAGAGTTTCTTTTTTTTATTTTCCTTTTTCTAATATTTTTTTTTCTATTTTTCTCAAGACACGTGTCACGATCTTAACGGACAGTAATATTAAAAGTGATACATGTCATGTTCCTAGAAATTATAAAAATCCTACGTGTCGTAACCACGTCGTGCGCATCCAGCTTTATATAATAAGATAAGATATATCCCTAAATACTAAAATGTAAACATATTTGAAGTCTAAAACAGTCGTAAAAAACAATAGTCAATTGGTTGAGATAGTTAGATGGCAACCTCATGTAAATCCATAGGAATTTAATAAGACAATACAATCAGATCAAGTACTCCCTCCATTTCAAATTAGTTTTCATTTTGGAAAAATATATCAAATAGTTGTCTCAACCAAAACTCTCATATCTCCAACCAATCGAAAATTCCCTACAATGATTTATAACTTGATATACTAGATTATATCTTTGACAAGGGGGTGACCCGCACTACGCGCGGATTGTGTTAATTTTATTGTTTTTCCGCAAATTTAATATTGTTTCAAAGATATTATACACACATTACTTAAATATAATTAGAGTTAGGCAAATTTTTTGTATCACCTTATTCCATCTCGTCCCATTTAGTTCATTTTCATCATGTACATTCTTTCCCGTCCCGTTTGTCATGTATGTCTCGTCCCGTTCACTCTCATCCTACCCCATTATATTATTTCTATTCTGTTTATTCTCGTCTCGTTCCCTAAATATAATTAGGGGTAGACATAATTCTATCCCATTCCGTTCCTCTTCATCTTGTCATGTTCTTTCTCATCATGTTCGTTCTGTCCGCCCCATCCAGTCCCATCATATCTTATTATGTTTATTTCCATTTTGTCTTATCTCTGTCTCATCTCTAAATATAATTAGGGGTAGGCAAAATTCCTGTCCCATCCCTTTCCGTCCCATTATGTCCTTTTTCATCTCGTCCTGTCCAATCATGTCCCGTCCAATCCCTTCATATTCAGTTCCTTTAGATCTCGTCTCGTCACTTAATATCATAAGAAATAAACAAAATTCTTCTCTTCTCTAATTCTATTTTTTTCATCTCGTCATATTCAATCTCGTCTCTTTTCATCCAAAAATACTATAGAAAAAAAACAATATTCTTTGTATAATATTACTACTAGGGTTTGACCCGCGCCCTGCACGGGGTGATGGTTTCTGAATTTGTATTTTTATTAAAAGATGTTTATTTAAATATATCTCAAAATTTTATGCGACGGATTTTTAATCTTTGTTAGATTATTGTCTTCGTTTATTCGTTTATAATATGAAAATCAAGCATTTTCTACTATTTTTTAAAAAGGTAAATAGATTAAAGTCTTGGATGTAGCCATATATTAAATATGATAGATTTAAGCGAGATACATAAAACTCAAATGACTACAGTATAATAAGTTAGTTTAAAAAACAAAAAATGTGAAAATAAAACATTATTCTTTACAAAAAAATTATACTGTATTTCATAAGATAAGAAGTCTTAGCTGTGTGCACACATATTAGAACTAATTTTTTCTTTCTTTTAAAACTAAAACACGGATTAAAATCAATTTTTTCTTTTTTTTCAAAACTAAAACATGGATTAGAATTAATTTTTTTCCTTCTTTCAAAACTAAAACACGGATTAAAACCATTTTTTTTCTTTCTTTCAAAACTAAAATATGGATTTTTTTCTGTCTTTCAAAATTAAAACATGCTTTATTATAATTTCAAAACAATCCAACCAATAAGAAGACAATCTGCATAATCTAAATTGTTAAAACAATGAAAATATAATTAACTTTATAATGAAAGTTGAAATAGATGGAGTAATATTCAAATTTTTAATCAAAATAAAAATTTATTAAAAAAAATTATTCAGTTTTATTATAGAATTTAATTAAAAACCATATTAAATGGAATAAAAATAATATGAAGTTGCTTGATACCTACTAAATGAGGTTATATACTAAACAATTTACATTATTTTGTTTTTAAAAATTCAAATCATAGCATATTCAGAAAAAGATTTAGATTTTCTTTATTAGTTTTCTTATATGATGATTCATATTATTTTATAAAATAAAGTTAAACAAAGATGATAGAAGATATATAGTGATTTAAAAAAAATTATTATGATAGAAATCAATTGGAATTTCATATTTTCCTTATTTACTTATTTTCGTAATTGCCATTTAAGGAAAGAAAATAATAATAAAGGGATGGTAAGCATAATATGCAATGGCATATATTGTAATTTTTCTAGTAAATGTTGTCTTATTTAAAAGTTGAGCTGAGAGTGAACCTGGTGATGACACCTAAGCAATGACACTCTTGTTAATAACACATGAGATAAAGGTTATTTTGATAGTGTTTTCTATTTTAATATATTAGGGATTATTAAATAATAATTTTTTAAGATTTATACATAATATTTATTTTTTTTATAAAAATGACTTTTTAAATTCTTGCAAAAACTATTATTATTTAATGAATGATAATAAAGAATTAAAATATAAAAAGAGAAAATATAATAATTAAAAATTAAAAATACAATGGTGACGTGGCGAATTGGTGAATTTAGAGATAACCTCTTCTGCTGACGTGGCAGCACCAAAATAGAATTGTATGAAATTTTTATATATATAATTACCGATATATGTGGGATCTTAGCAAAATTATCTAGCTTTTTTTTTCTTTTTTTTTTATGGGTGGGTATCCGAGACCAAAAATCAAACTAAACCCACAATAAGAAATTAGGTATTTTTTTGTGACTAAAGCCTCTACGAGTGGTCATGCATGGTGAAATTACAACAAGAGGATTCGGATCCTCGTCTAGACTCGCATGATGAATCCTAAAAACTATGGACCCCCACAAGATGGTTTCTTGTTTAGCCTCACTGAACTGTGAAATGCAAAAATATACAAAACTAATGCATAAATGACTATGGGTGTCAAATGGGTCAATCCCCCATGGGTCAATTCAGTCCATATTTATTTTTGGCGGGTTTGGGTCGAGATATTTTACCCATATAAATTAATGGGTTTTAGCAGGTTGATTCTAATAATTTATGATTTAGCGAGTAAACCCATTAGGGTAATGAGTTATCCATAGGTTTATAAAAAAAAATGTAAAATTTATATATATATGTATAATATTAATAAGTTTATCACTAAAAATATAAAATATACACAAATTTATCACTAAAAATGTACAAAACCATAAATTATAATAATATATATTATGTTTTGAAATTTTTATTATTTTATTATATATATGTATACCGTTTAACTCATTTAACTCATGGATATGGATATTAACATTATATGGTTTGGGTAATGAATTGTAACCCACAAAATAAATGGATATGAATTATAAATTTATAACCCGACCAATGGGTTAGGGTCGGGTTGAGTTACCCATTTGACACATGACGATGCATAACTATGAATAATTATAGAAAAGCAAGAATATTGATAGAAATATAAAAAAACCATCATTGAATGGCCTCATTTTCGTCCAAGTCACAGAAAAGCAAGCGGGTCCGAGTCCTTGTGGCTTAATGTCCCACATTCGTATAAAGACTCACGGACGACTTGGCTCCTCAAAATCTGAGATATTTCATATCTGTGGTGGAGCCGGCATAAATGTTTTTACTGTTATCTCTGACTCCAATGGTATTAGATGATATAACGAACCACAACAACTATTCTCGTAAGTTGTAACATCATTCACTTCATTCTAAGGGGAATGGCCGGAGAAGAGCAAAGACGTAGATGGAGCCTTCAAGGCAAGACCGCACTTGTCACCGGTGGAACCAAAGGCATTGGGTTCGTAAAAACTCTTCTCTTTCCCATAGATCTTGAAAATCACTTGAATCTATGTTCTTGATTCTTGGAACTGTTAGGCATGCTGTAGTGGAAGAACTAGCAGGATTTGGAGTGATAGTACATACGTGTGCTCGAGACGAATCTCAGCTCAATGAGTGTTTAAGTGAATGGAAAAAGAAAGGGTTTCAAGTCACTGGTTCAGTTTGTGATGCATCGTCCTGGACCGACAGAGAGAAGCTCATGCAAACTGTGTCCTCGTTGTTTGATGCCAAGCTCAGTATCATCGTAATTAATCTCCATCCTTATATAATTTGTTTGGTAACGTGTGCTGCAAGAAAATGGTTTTGGCTGATTCATGTCTCGATTTGTATATTCTTGATAGTAGATAAACAATGTTGGCGCAATCCTGTCAAAGCCAACACTTGAACATACGGCAGAAGATTTCTCGTTCCACATTTCGACCAACTTGGAGTCTGCCTATCATTTTAGCCAGCTTGCACATCCTATGCTCAAGGCTTCAGGATGTGGGAACATTGTCTTTATGTCCTCTGCTGCTGGGGTCGTGTCGCTTAGCATCAGCTCCGTCTATTGTGCCACAAAAGGTATATTACACTAGAGAACAAACCAAAACCACTTCTCTACTATATGAATCTTGTTTGTGCAGCTCATTAGTGAAGGATAGTACCAAACTGCATTACCATGATAGTACCAAACTACATTAACATCATGATGGTGTTGTAACAATATATATGCTTTGTTAAACTACACTATTTTAAGATATATAGTGATTTAAACCATTTATTATATTTATTAAAATATTATTTAATTTTAAATTGTAAAAAAACTTATTCTTAAAAATACAAAAAATAGGTTTTTGTTTCAAAATTATCACCACTAGTTTAAATTTCCAAAAATGCCACTAAACTTTATATTGTTTCCAAAAAATACAATAAAACTATAAATAAACATACTTTAAACCCTTAAAACAAAAAATAAACCCAAAAGTAAAACCTAAACCCAAAATATTAAATCCAAACCCAAATCCAAATATTTAAATGGTAAACCTTCGAAATTAATATTTTACCAAAACGGAAAAAAAAACCCGTTAAAATCATTTTTAGTGTTTGCGGTATTTTAGAAATATAAAACTAGTGATAATATTTTTAGAATATAAACTTATTTTAGTGGTATTTTGATGTATTCTGAAAAAATTAAATCAGTTAATAAAAACTAAATAAACATAAATGTATAATCAAGGCCTTAACACATGGTACTGTGTTTAGGGGCGATGAATAAGCTAGCAAGGAATTTAGCTTGCGAGTGGGCGAGCGACAATATAAGGGTTAATGCTGTGGCTCCTGGACTAATTGCCACTCCTCTAGCTGAAGCTGTAATATCCTATGCTATTCAAAGAATTTTTCTCTCTTTGTTTTGATGATATCTTGACTATCTATGCATGCATGTGAATTTATCATCTCTAGGCGACTAGCGATGGATTTAAGATGGGTATGATTTCAAGAAAGCCCTTAGGGCGGTTAGGGAGACCAGAGGAGGTAGCATCGCTGGTGGCATTTCTTTGTATGCCTGCAGCTTCTTATATTACTGGTCAGACCATTTGCGTCGATGGAGGTCTCACTATTAACGGCTTCTCTTATCAGCCACATGCTTAAAGGCAATCACCAAATTAAACAAATGAAATTTCAAGTATATAGTAATAAAATGTATTTTATTAGCAATCTTGGCTAACTCACCCATTTGTGTGGTTAGACCAAACAAAGGGGATGATAATAATTTCAAAGATAGACAAAACTATTTTATTTAAATTAAATTTATATAAAAAAATAAGAGAAGAGATTGGAAAAAAAAAATTGTATACATAATATTTGACATGTATTAAAATCTAATCGGCAATCATGTTAACTATAAATTTTGCATGTGGAATGGACCAAAATTTATATAATAAAATACTAAAATGTAAACATATTCGGAGTCTAAAACAGTCGTAAAGAAAAAAAATAGTCAATTGGCTTGAGTGGTTAGATGGCTAGCTCATGTCAATCAATAGGAATTTAATCAGACCATATATATCTGATCAAATAGGATGGTGCCTCGACAAATCTCTCATAGAACCATCACTATTAAATTGATTCATGAGAACTCATATCTCCAACCAATTGACAATTCCCTAGAATGATTTATCGCTTTATATACTAGATTACATCTTTGATAATTACCGATGTGGGATCTTCTCTTAGCAACCTATCTTTATCTCTGTTTCTGCTGTTTAGCCTTTGATTAGCGTTTCCTTGCGTCTCAAGTTAGCAGAAACAGTCTAAACAAAGGAAATTAATATGCAAAATTCGCAAGGTGGAGTAACTAGCTAGCTACTCTCCCTTTTGGAAAAAGGCACATTAAAATATCAAATCAAACACACACAACAAAGGGTAAGTGGAGTAGTGGTTTATGTAACGTAAACTTTTTCTCCATGAAAAAGCATGTGAAAATGCAGTTAAGAAGTGATGGAAACCCAGGCACACTTCCCGAAGCCAGCCGCCGCACAGCTCCGATCTAGGAATGAAGCATCTTCACCGGTGCCTCTCGGTCTGAGATCGGAGCTCCACTTCCTCTTTCCCGGACTCCCTTCACCGTCCGATGTTTTTGTCTCTCTCTCTTTCCGATGGTGCCTTCGTTGCCGTCGAGATCTACTTCCATCTCACATCTCGGACGTCCGCCGGTTTTGGGAGCTGTAGCGATGAGAGTTCTCGTCTCTTTCCTTCAGCCTCCCGGATCCGACGTCTCGCTCTCCGAGCCTCTCTCACCGCCGTGTGAGTACTCTTCCGGAAAGGCCGGTGCCTCCTCCAAAACCTCCAGATCCACTGGATTTTTGGTATTGTTCTTACTTTATATTTGGATCTTCAATGTGCTTGATCTGCTCCATGGAGTTATTGCTTCGTCGCATCACCATCTTTGTTGCCTTAAAGGCGCTCTGTTTCTTTTGGCCGTTCAACCATTGTCTTTTATCCTTCACTAAGGAATCTGACGCTTTAACCAGAGATCTTGCTTTCACTGTTCATGCCATCACAGTTGGAAGCCTCTCCGGTGACGTCTTCCTGAAGCTGGCCGCCGCCGTCATTAGTACTGGTCTGGAGGCGAATATGTTACATGGGCCGCTGGGTCCAATTTGCCTTTTAGGGTTAGTTATTTCTTCTTACTTCCTGGGTTAGGCCTTTGTAAAATTCAAATTCCTGAGCTGGGCCCTTGTATTCCTGGGTTTTGCCCTTGTATTAATTATGGGCTTTGCCTATGCATTCTCTTATGGGCTACAAATGATTTTGCTCTTCTTCTTGCACCAAGAATCAAGTTGCTCTGATTAAGGAAAGATCTCCTTAGTTTTTCTTCCATGGTCGAGAGAGATTATTGACATCCTTTTTTGCAAAGGGTGCTATTCTTCGACTTCAAAATCGGAAGTAACTGCCAATTTCCTTAACGCATGTCTTCATGTAATGGTTAAGGTCTGGTTATTCAAGTCCCAAGTGACTCCACTTCGATCTGTCGGCATTGCCGTGATGATCCCCTTGACGCAAGCGAGTTTCAGCTCCATTTTGCTGTCAATTTATCTTAATTTCTGTTTTGATGTTGTATTGTATTTTGCTAAGAGGATGGTTAATTCCATCTGTTTGTTGTATGATGGAGAATTAAGATTAATGAAATCAGTTGTGCACAAAAAAAAAGTGATGGAAACCCATTAAATTTGGGAAAGTCAAGGCATGGAGGAGAATCTTTTCTTTAGGTTCTCTAAAAGTTATGAAAATATCTTTTGTCATCACCTTTGTTCCGTCAACCTTCTCTTGTTAAAGCTAGTGACTAACTTTATTTCTAAGATAACACTTTCAAGAAACAAGCTAATTTTTTTTTTTTTTAAACGGTTTGGTTAGGTGAGTAAAAGACCACCATCCATAACTTGCATTATTGCATTATCTCCAACCATATTGCATTTGGAGATGAGGCAGGTAGTCTTGACATTTAATTGTTTCAGAAAGCTGCTGAATAAAAAAACAAAGCACCGTTGGCTACAACGACATCCATCTCCAGGAGAGGACACGTCAGGACTCAGGATGTTCAGAATTTGCCACGTGTGTCAAATTAATTTATTTTCGGAACCAATGAGATATCTCGCATTAGACACGTCTCCAACTCTCCATTACACCTCTATCCGCCTTCACATATCGAAAGATCCAACTTGCTCTCCATATATAAACAGAGGTCTTCACCCAACAAAGAGACCATTCAGATATTCCGATAGAGCTAAAGAGCAAGACATAGACCTAAACGCTTTTTAGCTTTCTCATTGTTGTTCTTTACCTTAAGCCTATTCTCGACATCCTTTTTGTACTCTCTTTGAGCTGTCACTTGATTAATAAGAAAGACTATCCTCTAAACTCTAAACCTAATATACAGATATAGAAACATATGATATTTCAATTTAACAGTTGGCGCCTCTGTTGGAATTGAGAATAAATCTTTGATAAAGTCAACCAAAGTTCAGAAATGAGCTTAACACCACCACCAACCGACTGAACTACGAACAACCGCAACCCCGTCAACGCAAGGAACGAAGACGATCCCATCAACCAGATCGCAGCTGCAAAGAGGCCACCTCTAGAAATGGAGAAAGCTGAAGCCGCAGCCCCTCTCACCAACACCGACTTTAACGTGGCAATAACATTCTCCATGAAACAAATGTCTGACGGTTTCAAGTGTGACATCCCAGTTTTCTAAAAATGGGCCCATTGTTTGCCCATTTGGTGAATATCGAGGGTTTCCACCTCCACAAACTCACGACGGAGGAAGCAAGGGAGAGAGAATGGCGGTGGGGAAAATCCAGAGAAAAATAGAAAGAGAAGGAAAGAAAGAGAAGAAGAGGAGAGAGAGAGAGAGGAGGATCTCGTGAGAGAAAACCAGAGAAGAAGAATGGAGGAGAGGGAAAGGACGTACCATGGCGAGCCGAGAGCGGAGATGTCGTCCTTTACCACCATCGCCGCCGACCAGTACCGTAGTGGAGCCACGTTCTCTGGAGATGCCGAAGCTGCCACCGCAGATCCGACATCATCACCGCCGGGACATCCGAGATCCAAGCCGAGAAGATCAAGGTGACATCATGTTGCCTTGCGCTCCAAGCAAACTCATCTCCATTCCCACCGATATCACCATCTTCACCACCATGGTTGGAGCATCACCGGAGGTCACATTCATCATCATCGGAGATTCCGATCTGCACAGTGGAGCCAAGCCGTGAGAGTTAGCTGCACTCCTCCTCTGTTCCTTGCGCCGCAAGTAATCTACCTCCACCATTGATGGCGTCACCTCCGTTTCATTTTCCGAACAGCGTTTAGTCAAAGTGAGGATGAATCTTCACCATGCGTTATTCTATTATTATTTAACGCTAAGATTTGGTTTAAACCAAGCATAACCTTGTTTGTTGTTTGTTAACCCTAGTATTGTGTTAGTAACCCATTGTGTTGTATAATTATTTAGTTAATTAATTATATTTTATTAGGTGATTTTAAAGTGATTATTTGTGAGAAATTGTATGTGATATTATTTATGGTTTATAAATAACTAGATTAAGACCCGCGTATACGCGGGTTTATTTTAAGATTTTGTAATAAAATCATGGAAAAGTATTAAACCAAATTTGATCATTTTAAAGTAAACAGAATAATATTAAAAACCCGATAAAAATATTTAAATAAAATAAGATCGGTAACCTTTTTACGTTTTTATTGTAATTGATATTTTTTTTGAATTCATGATATGAAAAATGAATTAATTTGTTTTATTTTTATTTTTATCCAATATAGAAAGACTTATATATGTCTAAATATGATCAACTGATTAATTAATTCAACAAAACTTTATTATTCCATTCAAGAGATTTCAATTGATGAAATCTTTATTTAATAATTTTTTACCTAACAATATTGAAAATTAAACTATTTAAAATTAGAATATCGGTTCATTATATTTTCTTAATATTAGTTAGTTGCTTGATAATGTAAAAAAAAAAGTTAGTTGCTTGATAATTAATTTGTTAGTTTTCTATTTATATTGTTTCTTTCTCAATTTTGTTTTTGACTCAGACCATTATAAATTTTCATTTTCATTATTAGTTAGTTTTTTTTCTAGTTTTTATATCTGTTTAACATTTTTCCAATTAACATGTCTTCACCGGATCAAATACATGTAACGACAATAATTTTGATTTCTATCCAACCGATATAGAGTTAGATACATGTATCGACAATAATTTTGATTTCTATCCAACTAATATAGAGTTAAATATTATTCATTGATACCATGAATTTTAAATACATGATTTTTTATGAGAGAAAAGATTATACAAAAGATAGAAGCACATAATTGAATCGCAATAGCTTATTATATATTGTTTTTTTTCCTGTTCATAATGGGAATATAAACACATATCGCAATTTTGTGAGTTATAAAAATCATGCGTATTGCTATCATGTTGTTTGCTTTGATGAGTTTGTAAATGAGAAAAAAGACTACTTTAACTCTCTTTTTATAGGGGTTCATGTAACTTATTCCATGCAGTTATAGGAAATTTAGTTTACCTAACCTATTTCATGTACTAATAGGATTTTATTTATTTCATTAATTTGAATCTTATATGTGTTTGGATAATATAAATTTGATGAATGGGAAACCTTTTTCTATTAGGATATGACAAATATAATTTTTTTTTCTTTTAACTATAAAAGATTAAAATTTCGTTTTTTTTCCTTTATCTATTTTTTTTTAATTATTATTTTTTTTTTTTTCTAAGACACATGTCACGATCTTAACGGACATAACATTAAAAGTGACACATGTCGCAATCCTAAATTTTATAAAAATCCTACGTGTCGCAACCACATCGCGCGCATCCAGCTTTATATAATAAGATATATTCCTTGATATTATTAAATATTAAATAATGATGTATTGTTGTGTATAAATATTTATATGAGGTTATATAAATATTTGTGAGATAAAATGTTGAATATTAAGTGAGTTTCTAAATGTTGAGTGTTGACGAACATATATCGAATATGGATTAATTAATGATCGGAGATGGTATTTAAAATCGGTTGAGTGTTAAAAGGATCATTGTTGAGTGTGGTGTGTGGTGGTTAATGTATATGTATATATATATATATATAAGTGTTTATATATAAAGTTATATATGTTGGACGCTTAGTGAGAAGCGTGTTAGTTAGTGGCGGTTTAAAGGTACCGTGCAACACAAGTAAGGTGGAAAGGTTGGTGTTGGTGTTTGCTGGATGTGGGGTAGATAAGGTTGCTCTTACCCCAATCCATCGTCGGTGGCTTGACGAGTCAGGCGTCTTGAAAGAGAGGCGGACAGCAATGTGGCGCTTTATACCACGGGGGTGTGCGCAGTGATGCGCGGATACATCCAGGGTGTTGAGTTACTGGAGCAAGATACTACGGGGTGTTGTGCCGGTATTTGGTAGCTTCACACGTGGTTGAGCTTGGCTGGACAAGAAACATCACCGTTACAGACCATATTACGTGTTGGGTGTATAGTCCCTCTAGGAGGTTGTTGCGTTATACAGCGTGTGTGGTGTTACATACTGTATGAGAGGTGACTCATGGTTTGTGTTGTATACACGGCGGATGTGTGGTGATTCACTGTTTGTGTCGTGTTATACACCGTCCTTGTGAAGCTATATCGTATGATGTGTTATACACTGCGTGTGTTGATACACACCTTATGTGTGGTGATTCATATATGTGTTGTGACATATATTGTATGTGTGGTGATGTGCCATATGAGTTATGTTCATACCGTATGTGTGGAACTGCATGGTATGAGTTGTGTAATGCAGCATGTGTGCTAGTTTGGCGTTGTATAGATGACGTCTTGTTTGATGCTGTTTTAGCCCAAGCATGGGTGTTTGTTTTATAGCGTTTCATATGTTGGGCCCGGTTTGGGTTCATTCTCCTGGGTAATCTAAATTACTCATCCCCCTCCATTTCCCTTTCTTGTTTCCTTTTCTTGCAGGTTAAGTACAGAAGTGTTGATTCAAGTATAAGTTGGTGGATTTTGTTAAAGAACATCTTGGATTTGGGACCATGGTTATGGCATCGCAGTTAAAGCTGGTTAAGTATGTAACGGATGTCTTGATACGCCGTCGTTTCTCGGGAGTCCGGGTGACGGGTGTCACATCAAGGCACAATTCACCGAGTTACGCTCCCTATAAGAGAATTTCAAAGACCAGCTCACCTCAAGCAGTGTCAGGCAATATCTCTTCCATGTTACGCAAGACTAGCAAACCGCACCCTAAGGATCAACCCTAAACCGCCTCAACGCTACCAAAGGAAATCCGACGATGTCGGTTGACCTTATCAATTCCGAAATGATGGAGCTCCGACAAGAACTCAGTCGTCTTAGATTTCTAAGACCATTCGACACCAGAGATCGAGAGCGTGATCGCTAAAACCCACAGCCGCCCCTTCACGCCTCGCATCAACAACGTCCCCTTGAAACAACAAATGGTCGTAAGGCTGGAAAATATATTTATTTTCCTTTTTCTATCATCTTTTTAATTAGTTATTTTTTTCTTTTTATTTACCAAAATATATGTCAAGTTCTTAATAGTTGTAAAACTAAAAATGATAGATATCGCAATCCTATGAGTTATAGTAATCATTTGTGTTGCAATTATGTTGTATGCATCCAACTTTATAATATATATTGTTTTGGATCAATATTCTGAGTACATTGAGATATCCCCTGAAAGTGTTGATGATTCTTGAAGAGATGTGGTGGGAATTTGCAAAACAGGCCTAGGAGGGACTTCAAGAGCATCCAAGCTTCCTTCCATCATCTCTACAACTCTGTTCATGGATGGTCGATTTGATGGATACAATTGAATACACCACAATGCCACCAAGATCATCTTCTTTGTGATTTCTTCTTCTTCTTGAGTTAATTCATCCCCAAAAAGCTTACTATGTGGTTCATTTTCAAGATCCTTATAGATCCAATCGGGGAAATAAATCGAGCTAGTGTTAGAAGCAGCATTTCCGACTCTATCTTTGTTTGTTGCACCTGTCATCTCAAGAACCAACATTCCATAGCTATACACATCTGACTTGTGAGACACACTCCCATAAACTCTAGAGATCATCTCTGGTGCAATATACCCTATTGTCCCTCTTGTGTCCAATATCGACATGATGCTTTCTTTCTTCTCGCAGAGCTTAGCGAGGCCAAAGTCAGAAACTTTGGGGCAAAGATTGCAATCCAACAACACATCCTGAGGTTTGATGTCGAAATGCACAATCCTTGTTTTGCAGCTATAGTGCAAGTACTCGAGGCCACGAGCAACTCCTAGCGCAATCTCGTAGAGCCTCCTTCTCCACTCAGCACTTGGCGAGGCATTTGCTGAGATAAACTGATCCAAGGAACCATTCTCTAGAAACTCGTAAACAATCACTCTTTTGGATCCTTCAAAGCAGAATCCAATGAAAGAAACAATGTTAACATGAGATGTTTGGCTCATACTGGCGACTTCATTGATAAAGTCTTCGCCATTGCTCTTTGAATCCTTCAAAACTTTGACCGCGACCTTACGACCATCAGGAAGGTTTCCTTTGTAAACAGTTCCAAACCCTCCTTTCCCAACAACGCAAGCAAATGAGTTTGTAAACCTCTTCACTTCCTTGTAACGATAATGTCTCAGCGGAGTAAGAGCTTTGAAGTTCTTTCTTCTCTGAGCATTTGATGTTTTCCTCTTTCTGATAGTAAACGCTATAACTCCTAACACCACGAGAATACTTACTACCGAACTCGCAACTAAGAAAAAACAGAACATAGATTCAATAAGTTACTTTTGTACCAAGAAATCTCAAGAGTTTTGGTGGTAAGAGATCAAACCTATGAGAATCTTTGTGACCGAGGCTTGATTATCTAGAAAACAAAGCATAGCTTGTGAGTATTGATACAAACTATAGACTAAATAAAAATAATTTCAAATAATCTGTAACCTTTCTTCGTCGCCAAACGAGGAAGAGCCAAGAGTACGAGCCTCTCTGCAGGTAAACCATTTGGACGGCTTCTGAAACTCCAACCCATCACATAGTGAGCGCTCGACTGATATTTCCCTGTGGCTGCGGTGAATCCAACGTACATTTCTTCTTGCACGATCTCTGTCAGCGTAGGAATGCGTTGCGAGATCAGTGGTTTACTCGGGGCAATCGCAAATGTCGCAGGAGAAGCGAACAAAGTCAGCGTTTGGCTGGGTCCGTCGTAATCTAGACGGACTCGGATGGGATCGCCGCTCACCAGATGGAATTCCTCTTTTCGGTTATAGTCGTCTTCATACGCAACCGGTTCTTGTACATCCGAGGCGAGACTGTTGAAATTTAGACCGATGTGATTGCCTGTTCTATCAGCCCCATCCGTGAATCCTTGTACAGTGTCGAACTCAACTGCGAAAACGTGATTCGATGGATTCCCGTCGTTCTCTCTGCTGAAAAGTCCCAAGTATTGTCCAGAATCGGCGCCTGGACGGTTTGGAGTGGGAGACAGTGTGAAGGTGAAGCCGAAACCTCCGTTGCTGGAGCTCGAAGGGTCTATGACGAAGACAAGGGAAGTGCTGAAAGAACGAATTGTGGCGTTGGTAGAGATATTGCTATGGTCAAGCAATCTCACAGGTTTGTTGTAGAACGCAGTCCCGGTGACGTTTGAGGTTTGATCGGTCAGTCTCAATAATCCACCAGGTTGGATCATCGCAGCTCCTTCTGTTTGAATCTCTGATTCCCGCCCCCTAAATCCTTGGAAAACGAATTCTGCTGTTGTTGTGTTCGGCTCTGTTCTCTGAGCTGGAACAAAGACGCTCAAAAGCTGGAAGAGCAAGAACAAAAATGAGACCAAGGGTCGAGACATAGAGAAATCAAGATCAGAGAGAACAAGAGATGATTATTGGAGATTTGAAGTTTACAGAGGAGTTTTTGGGTTTATCCTTACAACTGGATTCAATGATTGTGGAAATTGTAAGAGCAACGTAACTAAAGAAGAAAGGAATTTTCAAAGCTTTGAAAAACAAGAAATTTCCTCTACAAAGATTTGGTCACATCACGTAGATAAAAGCTGACCAAAGAGGGTTGTAGGAGACTGGAAAAGTCAATCATTTTAATCAGTTCTTCACCTCTATCGTCAAAGACTTAATTAGGTTAAAGCTCTTCACTAATAACAGTTTAGTTTCTCTTCAAATGTTTGAAGAGATTTCTTGATTTACTGATTCGTTACCTCTCAAACAATAGAAGTCAGACGCTGGAAAGCATGATTTAATAGTTTCATGTGTTATCTTTTGCGTATTGATAAGTTATCTTCAAGGCCGCTTTCTTAAACTTCTTTAAAAACCAAGCTAGAAAAACACTCAAACAGAGAAAATGTTCTGTAGTAATAATCTAGGAAGATATTTGTAATATCATCTTTCTTTGTGGATATAGCTCTTGAATTATAGATGATAATAGTGCTTAACAAGTTAACATGTTCCTCTTAAGTCTTCATGCTTTCTGTGTTCTAAGCCACCAGTTTTATATTACTTTGGGTTTGCGTCCATAGCGAATTTTTGTAGTCTTCTGCACTTAAATTTCGCCTACTTTTGTTCCATTATGTTGTATCTTCTATTTTGTAGTTGACAATGAATATGAGGATGATGGGGTTTAAGGCCATTGGGGACAAGATCAGCCTAAATGTCAGAGGCCATTGGTTTAAGGCTATATAACGCATTAAATGTCAGAGGTGTATTTTAAAGGGTTTTTTGCAAAAAAACCAGCCAACTAAATTAAATTTGCAAATTTAACCCTCAACTTTGTTTTGTGCAGGTCAAACCCACGAACTCAAAAGTCACCCGCTAAACAGCCCCTCTCTGTATCGTCGACGTGGCCCGATTTTAGTCCATTAAAAAAATATCAAAACGCTGCGTTTTGTTATTAAAACGGGAGGATGTTTGTAGTGTTCTTTGCCGTTTTTACACTTAACAAAAATGACAAACTTTTAAAACTACATCTAAGTGTCGGGATAATCTCAAATCGATTTGGGATAAAAAAATTAGGGTTCTTGAGGGTTTTAGAATCAATTGGGTAAGAGAGTGGAAGCTGAAATTGGGGAGTCAAACGTCTCTCTGCAAATCTGGTAAGCTTGTTGGTCATTTAGTTTTTGTTCCAATGATTTCGGGTTTGGGATTGAACAAAATCGAAAAAAGTTTGATAGAGTGAAAGGAAAATAGTTATTTGGTTTGTCTTTGATAGAACGAAACTTAAAAATAGTTCTTGTAGGAAGATGTTGTTTGCTATGCACAAACTGATGCATGTATCTGCAAATCGTACAAGAAGATGTTTTTTTTTTTGGTTTTAATGCAAGAAGATGTTACTTGTTATGTACAAATAAAGATTATTTGATTTGTCATTTACAGGAAGAAGAAGCAAGATGACTTTCACTACAGTTGGAGTTCTTCATCAGCCTCAGAGGTCTTGCTATGGACGAAATGGGATTCCGGAGAAGTGTAATTGTGGGTCGGCGGTTGAGCTTCGCACCTCCATGTAGATCAAGGAAGAAGATTTTACGTATGCAAGAGAAGTATCATGGTGAGTCTAATTACCCTAAGTTGTAGGTTGTTTAGTCACATTTTGAGTAAATGTAAGAGCTATATTTGGTGTAGGATGGAGAACCACATGTTAATAAGTAGTTGGATAAAGTAATTACTGAGGAGATGGTTGAGCTTAAGGGGAATCTGGACGACAACGATACGAGGCTTACGTATATCACAATGGACTGAGAAGCTTGTTGATGATATCGATCGAGAAGCTTAAGGATGCAGGGAAAAACGTGAAATTCATTAATGCATGCGGTGGTGGAGTTCAAGATTGTTGTGGCGGTTGGTGTAGTGGTGATTGTCATGGTTTTGATTATCGCCTTCTTTAAATAGAGAACATGTTTATGTTCTGAACCCTTTATTGCTTTGAAAACATCAAAAGGGTTTCATGTTATGTTTTGTAACTCTTCTTGTTTGACTTCTATGACTTATGTTCGGCTTTGTGTGTAATGTATACAGCTTATGTGTGATCTTTTACCAAAAGAAACTTATGTGTGATAATCAATGAACGTATGTCTTTGAGTTGGAATTGTAAACTCGTTAATGGCATTGAGCGTATACTGGAAAGTTTATGTGGTTTTGTGATGTGTTGTGGTGATTTCCGAATTTCTGAGTTAGTTGTAATTAAGTAAAATGTATAATTTGCATAGTATAGTAAAGAGCATAACCTTGACAAAATATCATAAACTTGACATTGAAGTCTTACAAACTGGATAGAAATAAGTCTAACATAGGATTAAGGTGATGATTGGTTCTCCCGCTACCACCCGCAAACGCAGCGTTTGCGGTTCGTAGCGGTTCTTAGCGTTTTATAACAATCACGACAACCGCTTTCAACCGCTCTATACCACTCTGTACCGCTCTATATCGCTGAAATCAAAAGCTCCTTTCCGCAAGCGTTTGCGGTTGCGGGCGGTTGCGGTTTGAAAAAAAAAAAAAAAACATAATATCTCCAAATTTGGAATAAGGGTATATTTTTTTGAAAAATACCATAATTATGTTTAAAAATTTCGAAAATACCCTAATTTTTTCTGTTTTGAAAAATACACTTTTAAAATGTAAAAAGTATGTTTTGACGTGATTTAAACAAAAAATAATAAATAATTACAAATTAAAAACGAAAATTAAAAAAATAATAAATTAATAAGTTTTTTTTCAGTATATGTTAAACTGAAACAAATTTTAATATTTTGGATCTTTATATAAACAACTTAACCTCATACACATTCCAACCAAATGAAACTTTAAATAAATTAAAACTTTACATATATTTAAAGTTTATAAATTATTAAAAATTTAAAAATGGAGAAATATATCTTTCATTTTTAATGTTTATCTTTTGAAAAATTTAAATATTTTTGAAACTTTATATAAACAACTTTAATCTCACCCCATTTAAACTTTATATAAATAATCTTATATTTTTATTAAATTGTTTAAAAAAAAACTAAACAGGTAATTAGGATGTTAAAATGATACAAAATTATTATCAAATATTAATATTTTATATTTCTTATTTGAATTTCGTAAATTAGTTAAAAATTAAATTAGGAATAATCATTTTACATATAAAAAGTGTATTTTTCAAAACCAAAAAAAATAAGGGTAGTTTTCAAATTAAAAATTCATCAAAAAATATATTTAAAAAAAATTATTAATATGGTTATAAATGTTTTGAATAATTATATATTATGTTTATTTTAGTAACTTTTGGTTAAACCGCTCTTGCACCCGCTGGCTAACCAGTCAAAAATATCCCGCAAACGCAACCGCTATGAATTGCTATACCAGTCGTACAAACAGCTTTTAATCGCAAACTCCCGCTTCCGCAAACTCCCGCAACCGCAAACTCCCGCAACCGCAACCGCAGCGTTTAAACCAGTCAGGCCCTAAGAACATAAACCTTAACAACTTAAGTTGACTTAAAAGTCTGAGTCATGACGTCTCATTACCAAATAAGGACATAAAAGGTGAAAGAAACAAGAACAACAAACAACATTACAGAGTCTTAGAGATCCACATTGCCATCATTCCTCCAATAAGGACATGGAATCCAAGCGATGAAGCGACGGGAACATTTCGGAGACCACTACACCTCTCCGTTTAGAGCTTCACATCTCTCCACTAATTCTTTCGCTTTTACGTCTTTCTCAGCATTATGAGTAAGTGTTCTCATCTGATTAGTCAAAGCTTCAGTTTCGTTTCTCTGATCTTGCATGAATTCTTGTGCCTCCAGACTCCAGTAACGCCAAATGTTGTCATTGCTTCTTCCTCATTGTACCATCTGAAGAACTTGCAGTTAGCATAACCATTGTCTTCTCGACAGCCTCTACAACCATAGAACATGCGGCCAGGGTTTAAACGAGTCCAAGCTCGCCTTTCTCTCTATTAGAGCTCACAATAGCAAAGAATCCCATATTATTTCAAAAATATTCTAAAAATACTTCACTCCCCAATCCCATCTCTCTTTTGGAGCTCGTACTTACTCCTCTCAACTCCAACATGCATCCCCAAATCAAACTCACTCATCTCATCGTAAATTCTCTCCACCCATCTCATAAAAATTTCTGTGACTTTCCCTAAGCTTTCACTAAAAATTATAAACTTTTTCTATAAACTCTCTCCACTCTCTCCACCTATCTCATGAACGACTACTAACCTACTCAAAACGAAACATCAATACAATTCAACCCCGATACCTCACAAAAATCTAGCGGAGATATCGATTTAACATTCTAGCAGAAGAAAAAAAACATATTGAAGCAAACGAAATTACCTCATCTCGAGCTCAGAATATGAATGTCGTCTATCATTAAGTCCAATTTGACTCCCCAATTTCAGCTTCCACTCTCTTACCCAATTGATTCTAAACCGGCAAGAACCCTAATTTCCTTATCCCCAAATCGAATTGAGATTATCCCAACACTTAGATTTAGTTTTAAAAGTTTGTCATTTTTTGTTAGATGTAAAAACGGCAGAGAACACTAAAACATCGTCCCGTTTTAATAACCAAAACACAGCGTTTTGATATTTTTTAATGGACTAAAATCGGGCCACGTCGACGATACAGAGAGGGGCTGTTTAGCGGGTGACTTTTGAGTTCGTGGGTTTGACCTGCACAAAACAAAGTTGAGGGTTAAATTTGCAAATTTAATTTAGTTGCCTGGTATTTTTGCACAAAACCCTATTTTAAACCAAGAGCCTCTTTTACTTTAGTGTGTCCTTGTTGAGAGGCTAATGGGAAATGACAAAAGGACTTACATTAGTACTTTTTGTTTTCCCTACTTTGAGTATCTTCCATTCCCTTACTGAAAATATTTTTCGTAACTCTCTCTATTTCTCTCTCCTTTTTCCCTTTTGATATACAAAACTGGTGACCCGTAAAGGAATAAAAAGAATGAGAAGGAATGGAATGAAGAGGAATAAAATATATGGAACTCATTCCTCCTCATATTTTATAAGGAATATTTTAACACTATAATTCCCTAATTAGTATGGAATGGTAAGGAATAATATGGAATACACATTCCTTCTAAATAGTGTAATTTTTAAGGAATGAAATAGAATTGTCTTATTCCCCCTCATTCCCAAGTCAAACTAGATGCGGATTTAGATGTTCCACTATTGCTCCTTGATCCATGAGATATTACTGTTAATTTGAGTATAGTGTACTTCATTGCGCAATATATTCAATTTTGTCTCTTTTCATCCAAAAATATTATAGAAAAAAACAGTGTTTTTGTATAATATATTTTATTTTTATTATTATTATTAAATAATAGTTTTTATAGATATATATATAAAATCTTTCTCTTTTTTGTAAATGACTTTTCATATTCTTGTTAAGCCTATTTAATGAATGATAACTATTATAATAATTAAAAAAAATGATATATTAAATGTTTATGCTGAAATGATAAATTTAGAGACACTCTCTTTTGCTGAGATGGCAGCTTGAGAAGAGAATCACATGAACTTTATGATCATACGTTTCTTCTTCCTATGCCTGACAAAATTGTAATAATGTCATTCATTGTGGATTATAATGATAAGTGATCATCATTATGATCAAAATCATCGCAAATTCTATACAGTAGAAACTCTATAAATTGATACTCGATAAACTAATAAACTCTATAAAATAATAATTTTCTCTGGTCCCAAGTCGGGCCTGTGTAAAAATTAGCAAAATTCGATAAAATAATAAGATAATAATATTTTTGAAACTCCTATGTAAATATATGGTCCCATTAATATCATAAATTAATAATTACCATAAATAATTTTATGTAAATACATATCTATGATAATATACTAAAATATAAGTATAATTTTCACTTCTTTTCTACTAAAACTCAAATATATTTAGAATTCATCCCTAATTTTAGAATGAATCTATACAAAATATAAAAAAAACTTTTAAAATTTCATATTTTTTATTTAATTTAATTTAATTTTAATTATTTTTTAAATAAAATAGCTATTTTATTCAAGATCGATAATTTAATAACTCTATAAATGAATAAATGTTATAACTAGTTTATATGGAAGCCCATTATCGGCCTATATTCTAGAATGTTCTAGTTTGTTCTCCAAGTGTATTCCTCTCCAAGGAAAACCCTATATTGTAATCCTATATAAGAAGCTCATTACTAATGGAATAAGACACAACCAATTCCTCTCTTCTCTTGTTCTCTCTTCTTACTATAACACGTTATCAGCACGAGTCTCTTTATTAGGTTAAAACCCTAGCCACTGAGTAAACACAAAACAGTAGCCGTATGAGTAAAACCCTAACCCACTTTGTTTGAGTTATTCGACTCCGCCGTATGTAGCTCGTCGTATGCTCCACTCTCCATCATTATCAAAGATAAGTACCATATATTACATCTAACTATATCATCCTTTTAATCTATTGCTTTATAGATTTATACATGATTTATTTAATCGAGACATGAATATGGTTTGATATATTACCATGTTTCCCTACGCACATGAGTCATTGCTTTGACGAGATCTGTCTGTTTGTGAGCCATGTTTGAATGCATGTTCTTTTTATATAAACTTGAAAGTTATATTTAAGTAGTATTTTGTCACGCATATTTGTGAATGTCTTCAAAGTAATTAAGAAATACATAATCTATATTACATGCCATATGGTCCTAGCTTATTTCATAATCGTAAAGCATTTTGAATTCCTTATTTTGTTTGGTCAATTGATTTGGTATAGCATTTGATCTATTATATCTAAGAATATTTGATTGGTCATTGGTGATGAATCGTTTATTTGATCTAGTTGAGTTCTCTATTTTAACATAATAAGTTGACCATGTTGTTTGGATTTTCTTTCAAATACTCATCAGTTTGATTATTCAATTTTTAACAGATAATGATGTCGAGCGCACAAACTTGTACAATTCTGAGCAAAGCCTAAGCTAACACTTTCTCAGTTTCTGGATGTCGTACCCGTAAGTCAGAATTCATTCTCTCCAATCATCGAGATAAGTGAATATTTATGCTTTATTAATATTAGCAAATAATCACAGCAAACTATAGATCAAGTAATATTTAAATATTGATTTGCAATATTGATAAAATCATAAGAATATAATCTGATTTAATATGTTTAACTACTGTCTCACCATAATATTCTTTGAATTTATAAACTGTTTGTTCATATTTTCTTGGTGTACAACATGATGAAATATTCGAGGCTTTGGTGTACATGTAATTTGACCGTAGCTTGTTTCATAATCATAAACCATCTTGAGTACTATTGTTTTGATTAATAAGTTAAACGATGCTTTAGTATCAATGAACTTGGAATTAAGATTTAATATGTTCACCTAGATGCTTGCTGGTCTATGATCTTATTTGATTTAAGTTCTGAATTTTACAGAATTCACTTATGAATGTTGATACTTTACCCAAAAAGAAAAAGGAACTTGATCTTATATATCGAGCCATAAGAAGAATTTTTATTAATAGGTTGCATCATCTCCTCTTGTTTATCGGTTAGCCATATATTCTAATGTTTGGGTTTGATGTCGTTGGTTTGATTTTTACCACCACTACTGAACGAACTTGATAGTTTACTTCATTTTGACATTTGCTGTTTATTATTTTGAGAATTGTTGATATGAGTTCATAATCATGAATTTTATAATTGAAATTCCATCATACTGAAATTTTGTTTTTGGAATTTGAAACCATCAGCAAACATATCTATATTCTGAAGTCGCATGACTTGCTTCATCCGTTTTAATTCAATCTGAATAGAATTATATTATGTTTGCCTTCTGATGATTATATATTGACTTCCTTATTTTTATATGACTAATATCTATTAATATATATAGTCTGATCATTTTTGTTGTTGATGACCTTAAAATAGAATACTTGACCATAGATAGAGTCTGGTCATTTTATATATTTGATCAAAATTTTATTATGATCGGTCAAAAACTCTATTTTGAGAGGAGAAGGTATGATCTCGACAAGTAATGTTTTTCATTGGTGAACTAAAATAGTTCTCCTTCATTCCCTGAAGTGAATGTCGATGACTACAGAAATAAAACTAGCCAAAAACTGATCATAAAGATGATGTTATGAATAGGTGTGTATGTAGTCAAGTTCAAAGGTCAAAATAATTATAAATTCTCACCAGAAGTGAGTGAATAAAAAATTGTAACAAACGAGCAATTGCTGATCTTCTCATCCCTGAAGGAAATAATTGAGATTCAAGCATATAGTTTACTTAAAAATATATGTTACTTTATTTATTAATTTTGATTTGCTTTTAGCTGTTCTTTTTATCCTATGAATTTATGAGTTGCTATTTATTTTCTATGTTATTTATATATGTGAATTTGAATACTCCAGAAGAGTATATATATTGAAAACTTCAGAAGAGTATACATAGAAAAGGCTCCAGAAGAGCATATGTATTGAAAGCTCCAGAAGAGCATCCATATTGAATGTTTTGGAAGAACATACAGTCTATGGGAACTCATATTCAAAATTGCTTATGCGTCATAATCTTAAAAGTTACAGGGATACATGAGCCAAGTTGGGTGTGATGTTGATTCAAAGTGAGATTATGTCTGAGATGGATGTATTGAGAGTATCACCATCTCGAGGGGGGAGAATTAAAGAATCTCATATATATATAGCAAGTGAAACATCCAGGAGATGAAGTTCACACTATGCTAAAGAAAATCCTGAAGATTTTTAGAATCATCACATTGAGACTATGAGTGAAGAGAATGTTGAATACATTCACATTACGCATATTACCCAAGGCTCTATATACCATTATGGAAAGATTAAATGCAGATTGTAATGTGCTTATACAATCAAAGCAAATATTGCCGTACACCAGAAGTTATGGTCACCGGAAGGTTAATGAAAACTTCACTGTTTGGCATGAACCCGTTAGACCAATCTGGTTAAGATATGATGTGAAAGTTAATCATATGGACATTCGTTGAAGAACCAGAAGATTCTCTCAATGATTTGTGATATGTCCCATGCTCACAAGAAATTCATAGTATGATATTCACCAGTTGACAAGATTTGGAATCTAGTCACTTATTAAAAGTATACACGGAAAAGTTTATGGTTTAAGCTACTATGTGGACTGATCATCTACGTGAAAACTTTAAGATGGTTGTATGTATACTTGATATCAATCTGTAACCTGAAGTTGCAAGATTAATTAATTGGTAATAAAGGTGAATTCAGTGAACATCCAATATACATGTTCATACTAAGAATGCAGGAGCATTGATTCAAATCAAGCCAATGAGTTATTAAAAGTTCTCCCTTTGGAATTGGTTTTGGTCAGTTTGTGGTCCACGACAGATAGACTCAAAGAGGTTTTAGATGTTGGATAAAATCGAGAGCTATCCTGAAGGATTTAAGTAAAGCTCGATTTACACTACCATGTTAATGGATAAGTCTTTCCAACATCAGGGGGAGAAAATAAAAGGCTGGAAAGAAAAGTAGTTGAATGAATTATCATTGATCCTCGGACTATAGAATGTGAAATAGAAGTCCTGAAGATAATTCATTCACAAAACTTATTGTATCAGTTGCCAGATACATTTACTGACCCAAATATAGTGATTGAGTCACTTACCAGCTGTAAATGCTCTAATAAGAATTGATGTCCCAGAAGGACAATATCAAGCTGCTAGTGAGTCTAAAGAACGCATGAAGCGTGATAGACTTGTCGGTTCCAAATATTATAATCCTCGAAAAAGTAAAAGAGCATAAATTGACAATGGTCAAACCGAGGAAACAAATATTTTTGAGTGATCTCCAGAAGAGACATTAAACATGACAAATAAGAAATTCAGGTACCTGAGACAATGATGAGATCTCGAGAAATTACTTATGTCATGTATAGAATAAATGGAACCAGAAGCAAATCGACGTCGTAAATAATATATTTGCATGCAATGTAGCAGTTGATATTATGAATGAGAAAGAGGATCATGAAACAAAGTCTATTGCATTGTGTACACAAAGTAATGATTTGGCCAAATCGAAAAGAAGCAATAGACAAAACAAAAGAAAAAGATTTGGACCAGAAGTCCTTTCACCTAAAAAGTGTGAAACAAGTGAGTTATAAATTTGGCATTTGTGCCGAAGAAGAATGAGTATGAAGAGATATACTCTCATGTGGTGGATGCAACTTTCAAGTTCATTAAGTCTGGCAATGAAAGAAGAACTTGACTTATACAACTCACTAAACAATGATATTTATGTAAAAGTCCCTGAAGGATATAATCATTAAAGAATTAATGATATCATTGTTTTGTTCCCGGAAAATATTAGCTACTTAATCAAATGAAAAGAAATTTGATTCATGGATATAATCACGAAAGTGAATATATAAAGCTAACAAATACCCATGTATATTTATAGATCAAAAGAGATCTTTAGTCTAAACATAATCGAAATTCCAGAAGAATTGTCGAAATTAGTATCACAAAAGAGATGGGATAAAAGATCTTGGAAAGACAAAGTTGTCTTAAGATATCCCAAATTCCCAAAAATGTTATGGCATGATTTACATAAACAATGCTCACATATATTTGGTCCTGAAGTACCATACTTCAAATGCTATTTGAAAAATATGTTAGTCTCTTCATAATTCAAAATGAGCATGAGATTATATATACAAGATAGATGTTTTGTATATAAAAGAGAAAATTTGGCCAGAAGTCCAAATGATTATTTATAGAAAAAGATGTCTAGACTAAAAGTCTAAATGACTTTCATCAAAGTTATACTTATAGTAATCTCCAAAAGATAGTATTGGAATGCATCTCCTGAAGAATATGCTTCCAAGGGGGAGAATATGATGATATGTGTGGTTGTACTCTTTTTCCTTATCATGGTTTTTATCCCATTGGGTTTTTCCATGAAAGGTTTTAATGAGGCAACAAAGAACACACAAATGAGAAACATCTAAAGAAGTCTTGTCATCTATTTATGAGATCAAGTGAAGCAAGGAGATTGATCAAGATGAATCATCTTGATCCATGCAACCAAGAAGAATGGCGATGTCAATGTTCTAAAGACTGTTCAAGTGAAGATTTTAAAGGAGTTTCCATCTGCTATTATCAAGAAGTTCATTCACCTAATCTACACGGATGTTCTCATGAGGGGGAGTAGTTGCGCGCTGTACTCTTTTTCCTTAACTAAGGTTTTTCCCTTTGGGTTTTCCTGGTAAGGTTTTAACGAGGCAGCACATGCGCACTTAGAAGATATTTTTAGATAATGGACTTCCAAGGGGGAGTGTTATAACTAGTTTATATGGAAGCCCATTATCGGCCCATATTCTAGAATGTTCTAGCTTGTTCTCCAAGTGTATTCCTCTCCAAGGAAAACCCTATATTGTAATCCTATATAAAAGCTCATTACTAATGGAATAAGACACAACCAATTCCTCTCTTCTCTTGTTCTCTCTTCTTACTATAACAATAAAATATCAAAGTTCCAACTATATTAATTTATAGAGTTTCTACTGTACTTGCCTGCGAACAGCTCTTGACGCCACAGCTCGCAGGTTAGCTCTTGCTAGATACAAATGAGGAGCTGATGAAGAAGAAGTAGCCACCGCGGTTTTTAGGCCAAACGCATACGCGAATTTATCTTGCCGCTGCAACCGCAACGTGAATGCGGCTACCCTATCTTGATCAAATCTCAGAGTAGCTTCTCTCTTCAGATACAAGCAAACTCGAAAGATCTTCTCTTAGCAACCTATCTTGATCTCGGTTTTTGCTGCCTTTGATTAGCGGTTCCTTGCCTCACAAGTTAGCGGAAGCAGCTCTGTGTGATTCTGACGTCTTTCAGAAACAAAAGCTGGATTGTGTTCTAAAGAACCGTATTCACAATCCATTTTTAGATAACTCTCGAATCTTTTTCCAAAACTCATAAAAAATAAAATAATTACCATATAGTTTCCTGCATTCTTGGGCATTTCTTTCCCTATAGTCCGACGTTGCAAACACTTTTTGAGTACCAAATTCACCATACAAAAAACATTATCTGGTGTGTGTCCACAAGTTGTAGTGCTAGGTACAAAGCGAATTTCAAAGTGTAAGAACCCTAAATCAAGGAATTAATGGAAAGAAAATTAGTCTCAATGAACTAAGTGATAATTCTTTGGACCATGTGTATGACTTATCGCAAAACAGTCTCAACAAAAGTAATTAAGATGCAAAAAAATCGCAAGGTGGAGTAACTAGCTACTACTCTACCTTTTGGAAAAAGGTACATTAAAGATATCAAAGCAAACACACAAATAAGATAAGAGGAGAAGTAATTTCTGTAACGTAAACTTTTTCTCCATGAAAAAGCATGTGAAATTGCAGTTACGAAGAGATGGAAACCCATGTAGAAGATATACATTGCATGATCCATTAAATTTGGGAAAGTCAAGGCATGGAGGAGGTGATGCAAGAATCTCTTCTTTAGGTTCTCTAAAAGTTTTGAAAATATCGTTTGTCATCACCTTTATTAATTCCGTCAACCTTCTCTTGTTAAAGCTAGTGACTAACTTTAGTTCTAAGATAACACTTTCAAGAAACAACCTAATTTTTTTTTTTAAACGGTTTGGTTAGGTGAGTAAAAGACCACCATCCATTATCTCCAACCATATTGCATTTGGAGATGAGACAGGTTGTCTTGATATTTAATTGCTTCAGAAAGCTGTTGGATAAAAAAATCAAAGCATCGTTGGCTACAACGACATCCATCCCCACGATAATCCAAGTTGACTTACAAGCATATTTGTAACATCTGATTTCTGTTATATAGTGGTTTATGTAGAGAGGTTTAAATGAATTGATTTAACTATCTATGTTATTAAAATGCATTTTTTGGTCAATGTGTTTATGTTGGAATAATGGAATGATGGATGACCTACTATGAAGTGATTTGTGGTATCATGTGAGTGAATAAACAAACACGGAAAAAGATCAAGTGATGATTGTAGAAATGGTAAACAAGTCTTTCAAGCCTCCTAAAAAGTAATCCACAGACCGTGAGACGGGAATGGGGTATATAAGTTATGAGCCCAGAGATGGCGTGGAGGTCCACTGACATAGATGGTTGGAGCGTTATAATATTGATGGATAGTCTTGGGACCAATCTTATAGGAGCATTACTCTTCTTCAAAGGATTAATGGATCCGATGTATTTAGGAAATTTTTCCGAACGGATTCAGATAGATTAATCTCTATTAATCATCATTTGGAAAACTGAATCTTGTAATTGTGTTTCTAGTTTTCTAAAGACCACTTTTCCAATTTTGATCCATGTTGAAAAGATTCTATTTTCTCAGCCCACAACAAGGAATTAAAGTTCCATGCTTTATTGAGATATTAATTCACACGAAATAAATATAGGATAGAGAGACCGATGGTGATACGTAGGATTTGCACTATGTACATCCAATTCCAACTAACACAAAGTTAGAAAATAACATATTTTTCTATGTGATAATTTAGATTGCCGTATCCATTAGTGGACCCTAAAGTAAGACCAACGCACCTACTTTCTCATTTTTATTTATTATTTGTTGTATACAAAAATAACAATTATTTTTCTTAGCCTTCCAATTTTCCACTATTAACATTTATCTCCCAAATTTCACATACTCTGATTCCACAAAAAACCATTATCATAATGCTTCCATTTGCCAACTACTACGTTTCTTCACCATCCATGTCCGAGAAGAACATTAGCAACAACAAGAGGAGGAAGAAGAAACGTCCAATGACGGTTTACGGCAGAGGAGGAGGAGATGATGATTTGGCGGTGGTGAAGGCGGCGGCGTGGGCTTGGTACCAAAGAAAAGAAGGCAAACCGATGATGAGGGAGTTTGATCTAACAAGAGCACCAAGGACACCTCGACCTTCACGGTACAAGATCGAAGCCACCAAGAACATGATCCTCTCTGAGAATAAGGTTTTAGCCGAGAATAGGGTTTCTAAGTCTTCGCTCTGGTACACAAATGACTCTTTCCGTGGAGATCAAGAAACTCAATACTCTCGTCTTCTTGATACTTACGAAATGAAGAACATCTCCAAGAGGCTTAATATTGATGATTCTAATTTCTCCTTGAGTTCACGTAGTGTCTTCAGGCTCAACGAAGATCATCATCATAATCATAATGATGATTATGGTTGTTACGATCATGGTTTGTTGCAGAAGAGAACTGGTTATGAAAATACTACTACTCATAGTAGTAGTAGAAAAGAAAACAAGAATTCTAATGGCTTCATGAAAAAAGTGAGCAAGAGAAGTTTGTGGAAAGGAATGATTGTGACGGGTCAAGGATCTACGGTTTGTGGGAGAAGCGATGACGTGGATTTACGGGCTTCTCAGGCCAGCCGGAGAACGGTTAAGGTTGCCGCGGCAGCCGAGGCTCTGGTCAGATCGGTGGCAAGTGGCAAAACTCAGTCTGGTCGTCGCTAACTTTAGTTGGTTCTTGGGTTGTTGAACTTGGAAGACTTTTTAGGCTCGAATGATTTTTTCTTTTTTCTTTTAAACATCTCTTTGTTTTTTTCGTTTAAATTAAACTGTACATTTGTTCATTTTTTCAGTCTGTGATTTTCACTACCTGTGTATTTTGTACCAGTTTGAGTAAATATGTAACTCTTCAAGAAAAAGAGATGACAAAAAGAAAAGATTAAATATGTTCTAGTTCATTTGTAATTTTCAACTAGTATTTTTTTCCCTTAGATCTTACCATCAAATTTAAAATTAAAAAAAAAAAAAAATCATTTCTAACTTTGGTATTTTTCGGTAAGTTTAATATATTAAAAAATTACTGATAGTGTTATATAGAATTTAATAATTAAAGTATTTGTGCATGGAAGTGTATGATTTTCCTTTTTTAGGGTGGAGAAATAAGGTTAGAGATCATATAATTAAAGTTATTAGTTAGAGGAACATTTTTATTTATGTATTGTATACTCTTACGACTTATCTTGCTCACTAGTCCCGACTATATCACCATAATCTAAATGACTAAAACCCAACAATAAGATAATTTTAAATCTCAAACTATATAAATATATTTTGGGGTACGTGTGCGTAATGCTTAATCAAACGATGAAGTCACGTTTTTTCCTTTTTGTCGTCTGAATGATGAAGTCATTCATAACTATTTCTTGCCTAACTAACGTTCCAGGCCACTATGTATTTGTGGCCAAAAATGGTCGTTCCTCTCGTCAGAAAGTATCAGAAAAAAGTTACTGTCCAGTAGTGCTGCAACTCATAAAACGCAATAGAGCGATGGGCCACTCTAATTTTATTAACACAGTGGGTTGGTAGGTTTGTGTTTTAAAATTTGTATCCTACTATCAGGCCCACATATATTTCGATGACATCTGTATATCAACGCATCAACATAGGTACCAATATAAATTGTTATATAAAAAAAAAACACTGGAGATGATAAGATAGCTGACTCAAACGATCGAGATTATGGAAATTACAAATACATCTACAAAATCGTTAACTTATCTCTTATGAAAGTATTTTTTTATTTAGTTTACATAAGTTATCATTAATATACATTTGAATTCCTACTCTCGTTAATTTATAAAATTGTCATTGTAGTGTATTTTATCTAGGTTTGCTATGGCATCGCTTGTGCATGAAAATTCCATATCAATAATTAATATGTACCAAGTACCAACTACACATTATCTCTACCTCTTGGCTGGTCCATAGTTGAAATAATATCATTAGCTTAACAAAGTTAGTCTAAAAAGATAATATGAAATAATGAAAGTGCAAGTCTTTTTTAGCACTTTACATTTCATTTTACAGGGAAGCAATTTGCATGATGGTTCATCGAGTCAATGGAGTCAAACCAAATTACTTTCCGTTATTAGAATTGTCATATTTGACTCCAGAATCGTGTCGTATCACGTAAACACTACCATGCGTTGTTAAAATTTGTCAGAATCTTTTATTTGCTTTTTCAAGTCTATACATATTAGTGTCAAATTTTGTATTTTTATTGTTTACGTATCAGTGTTTGGATTTATCATAAGGGCCGGGGGATACATTTAACATGTGTGTTGTCTACGAGATGGTTTCCATCTATAAACTTTAGAGTGTTATTGGGTATTGTGTTTAAATCTATCTCTTCTTCTTAGAGATTGCTTCCGCATCCGTTCCATATCACTTTCATTGTCATAACATGAAACTGATATTATAACTTTTAAAATAGTAACAAACTACAGTAGAAACTCTATAAATTAATAATGTCGGGACTTTGATATTTTATTAATTTATAGAGTTATTAATATATAGATTTTGACTAAAAAAAAATCAAAAATAATCTTTTAAATTTTCATTCAAATTAAATAAGGACTTTCATTTATATTTATAGTATTTTTTCTTAAAATTCTTTTTTGATGGTTCTATTTACTTTATTGTTTTTTTTACATCAAACACCATTTTATTGAAACCGTGAAACAGAGTAATCCTTATGGGGGCTTTACTTTATTATTTACATTTTTTCATACATGTCATATTGATTTCAGTTCATTTTTTCTTTTCATTTCCAAATTTGTTAGGTGTGTGAGAGATTCATATTTTAGTAGCTAGATATCTTAGTTATCTTATTATATAAAGCTGGATGCGCACGACGTGGTTGCGACACGTAGGATTTTTATAAAATTCAGGATCGCGACATGTGTCACTTTTAAGTTTATGTCCGTTAAGATCGTGACACGTGTCTTATAGAAAAAGGAGAACTTAAAAAAAAAATCCAAATAAATGTTAATTAAAAAAAAACGAAATTTAATTTAATATATTATATCAAAAAAAAAAATAATATTTGCCATATCCAAACAGAAAAAGGTTTCCCATTCATCAAAATTTTTTATTATATAAAGTTGGATGCTTTTAGATAAAGGAATTTAAAAAAAAAATTAATCCATTACAGTTAAAAGAAATAAAAATATATTTGTCATATCCTAATAGAGAAAGGTTTTCCATTCATCAAATTAATATTATCCAAACAAATAATAAAATCAAAATAATGTAATAAATAAAATCTATTTGTATAATGTTATGTAATCAAATTAATATTATCCAAACAAATAATAAAATCAAAATAATGTAATAAATAAAATCATATTTGTATAATGAAATAAATAATGTTATGTAAACTAAATTTCATATAACTGAATAGGTTACTTGAATCCCTATAAAAGAGAGTCAAAGTTTCTCAATCATAAATTCATCAAAGCAAATTCATCAGATCCCTTTGATTCTATTTCTCCAATTAAAAAATCATGTTTTTGACAGTTTTGCGATACATATGATTTTTATAACTCACAAAATTGTGACATTTGTTTTAGAAAAAAAAAATTATGAAAGTATGAAGATCGTAACATGTGTCATAGAATAAAAAAAAAAAAATTAATATGTATAAGACTAAATAAAAATTAGAAAATCAGATAAAAATAATTAAAATGAAAAAATAATAAATCCATTAAAAGTAATAAAAAACAGAAAACAAATAATTTAAATTCTTTTGTTACATCTATTAAGAAAAGGAAAAAAATGCATTTCGAAAAGGAAAAATATCAATATATATTATTTATAATGGTATGAGGCAAAAAAAAATTGAGAAAAAAAAATATAAATAGAAAACTAACAAAATAATATTCAAGCAATTAACTAAATTAAAAAATTATAATCGATATTCTAATTTTAAATAGTTTGATTTTCAATTTTTGTTAGGTAAAAAAAATTGAAATAAAGATTTCATCAATTAAAATCTCTTGAATGGAATAATAAAAGTTTGATTAATTAATCAAATTGTAAGTGTTTATGTATTGGATAAAAATAATATTAAAACAAATTAATTCATTTTGTCATATCATAAATTCAAAAGAAAAATCAATTATAATAAAAATGTAAAAGTATTACCAATTTTATTTTATTTAAATATTTTTATCGGGTTTTCAATATTATTTTGTTTACGTTTAAAAATGATCAAATTTTGTTTAATATTTTCCATGCTTTTATTATAAAATCTTAAAATATACCCGCGTATACGCGGGCCTTAATCTAGTATATATATATATATAATTTTATATGATGAATATTAATTTATGATATTATTGGGACCATATTTTACATAGGAGTTTTAAAAACATTATTATCTTATTATTTTATCGAATTATGTCATATTTTACACCGGCCCAACTCAGGACCGGAAAATTTTATTAATTTATCGTGTTTATTAATTTATCGAGTATTAATTTATAGAGTTTCTACTGTATAATGATAAAAACAAAAATGGGAAAGAAGAAAATGAAAGAAACGTCATTGTCGGGAATAAAAGAAAAGAAAAGGCAAAGGATGTGTTAGGGACCAAGAGTTGGAACTAAGCTGTCGGCTACTTGGCCAAAATCCCATCTTAAAGTTAAGACTCAACAGCTCATCTTTGGCCCCTACTTCACACTTCCCTGCAAATGTTTTCAAAGTTAAGTCTTGTTATCAATTTATTTTACTTTATTTTATTTATCAGAAAATTTACTCATGTGTTGCAGTGCTCAACTTGTTTTGTCTTGGGGTACACAATATCCTAACTGTATTTTGGTTTGATACTTGTCTTATTAGTCCAATTCTAGATTTATCCAGCAGATCATAGTGTATAATTTTAGATATTATGGATATCTTATATAGTAAGAATATTTTTAGATTCCAAAAATCTTCCATTTATCAAAAGAATATATAGTATTATGTGTTTGGGAAAATTTCAAAACTACATATTTTGAGGTGCCAATTTACAAAAATACACCTCTATGGTGTCTATTTTCACAACTACACTTTTTTCATTGAGTAAAAGAACTCTAAACCCTAAAATATAAATCCAAAACCCTAAAATCTAACATTGAACCCTTAAATCTAAACCCTAAACCCCCAATCTAAATCATAATCTATGATTAGTGAACCCAAATATATATATATATATATATATATATTAAAATTAGGAAAAAAATGTATTTTTGAAAATTTCCACACTATAAATATAGTTTTGCACTTCAAGAAATGTATTTCATCAATAATTTGGTGTTTATAATATGAGGTAGCTATATTATTTTTCTCAGAAATAATTGTCAGATTATGTTTTCATCAATTTCACCACTTTTCTTCTCTATGGCCTTTATTGGTAGAGCTTTTAGAAGAGCATTAAGCTCTTTTTCATCCAATCAACTTTTTTTAAAAGAGCATTTAGGAGAGCATTTAGAAACTGCTACTGCTCCCAAACTGCTCCCCTGCTCTGAAATGAAGCATTGAGCTCAAAAATATTTAAAAAATCTTAAATAAATTATATTTAATTTATTTATTTTGGTAAAAAAATGAAACTATATTTATATCAAATTTACAATTTTATAATTTCGTAAATTAACATTAACAATAATGTATTATTCATAAAATAA